AATCGAAGGCAAACCATTCAACATCACAGTAATCCAAGTCTGTGCCCCAACCACTCGTGCTGAAGAGGCTGAAGTTGAGCGGTCCTATGAAGGCCTACAACACCTTCTAGAATTAGCACCAAAAAATGATGTCCTTATCATCATGGGGGATTGGAATGCTAAAGTAGGAAGCCAAAAGATAACCAGAATAAGAGGTAAGTTTGTTACAAAATGAAGCAGGGCAAAGGCTGGCAGAATTTTATCAAGACAACACGCTGGTCATAGCAAACACTCTTTTCCAACAACTCAAGAGATGACTCTACACATGGACATCACCAGATCGTCAGCACAGAACTCAGACTGACCATGTGCTGTGCAGCCAAAGGTGGAGAAGCTGTATAACTCAGTAAAAACATGACCAGGAGCTGACTGTGGCTCAGATTATGAGCTTCTTGTGGCAAAATTTAGGCATAATTGAAGAAAGTAGGGGAAAACACTAGGCCACTCAGGTATTTCCTAAATCATATTCCTGATAAATATACAGTAGAGGTGACAAATTGATTTAAGGAATTAGATCTGATAGACAGAGTGCCTGAAGAACTGTGGATGGAGGTTCACAACATTGTACAAGAGGTAGCAAATAAAACCATCCCAAAGAAAAAGAAGTGCAAGAAAGCAAAATGGCTGTCTGAGGAAGCTTTACAAATAGCTGAGGAAATAAGGGAAGACAAGGGAGAAAGATACACCCAATTGAATGCAGAATTCCAGAGAATAGCTAGAAGAGATAAGAATGCCTTCTTAAAAGAACAGTGCAAAGAAACAGAGGAAAACAACAGAATAGGGAGGACCAGAGACCTCCTCATGAAAATTGGAGCTATGAAGGGAACGTTTCAGGCAAAGATGGTCATGATAAAGGACCAAAATGGCAGGGACCTAACAGAGACAGAAGAGATTAAGAAGAGGTGGCAAGATTACACAGAAGAACTATACAAGAAAGATCTTAACATCCCTGATAACCCTGATGGGGTGGTTGCTGACCTCGATTCAAACATCCTGGAATGTGAAGTCAAATGGGCCTTAGGAAGTCTGAGCAACAACAAAGCTAGTGGAGGAGATGGTATTCCAGCTGAGCTATTCAAAATCCTAAAAGACAATGCAGTGAAAGTGCTGCACTCAATATGCCAGCAAATTTGGAAAACTCAACAGTGGCCACAGGATTGGAAAAGGTCAGTTTGCATTCCAATTCTAAAGAAGGGCAATGCCAAAGAATGTTCAAACTACCTCACCATTGCACTCATTTCACATGCTAGCAAAGTTATGCTCAAAATCCTACAAGCTAGGCTCCAGCAGTATGTGGACCAGAAGTACAGGCAGGATTTCGAAGAAGGAGCGGAACTAGAGATCAAATTGCCAACATACGCTGGATCATGGAGAAAGCTAGGGAGTTCCAGAAAAACATCTACTTCTGCTTCATTGATTATGCTAAAGTCTTTGATTGTGTGGATCACAACAAATTGTGGCAAGTTCTTAAAGAGATGGGAGTACCAGACCATCATATTTGTCTCTTGAGAAACTTGTATTTGGGTCAAGTAGTAACAGTGAGAACTGGACATGGAACCACTGATTGGTTCAAAATTGAGAAATGAGTATGGCAAGGCTGTATATTGTCCCCCTGCCTATTTAACTTATATGCAGAGCACATCATGTGAAAGGCCAGGCTAGATGAATCACAAGTTGGAATTAAGATTGCCATTAGAAATATCAGCAACCTCAGATATGCAGATGATACCAATCTAATGGCAGAAAGTGAAGAGGAACTAAAGAGCCTCTTGATGCGGGTGAAAGAGGAAAGCACAAAAGTTGGCTTGAAACTCAACATCAAGAAAACTAAGACCATGGCATCTGGTCCTCTTACTTCCTGGCAAATAGATGGGGAAGAAATGGACAGATTTTATTTTCCTGGGCTCCAAGATCACTGCAGATGGTGACTGCAGCCAAGAAATTAAAAGACGCTTACTCCTTGGAAGGAAAGCTATGGCAAATCTAGACAGCATACTAAAAAGCAGAGACATCATCCTGCCAACAAAAGTGTGTATAGTCAAGGCTATGGTTTTCGCAGTTGCAATGTATGGCTGTGAAAGTTGTATGATAAAGGAAGGCTGAGCGCTGAAGAATTGAGGTCTTTGAAGTTTGGTGCTGGAGAAAACTCCTGCGGGTTCCTTGGACTGCAAGGCGATCAAACCGCTCACTCTTAGAGAAGATTAACCCTGACTGCTCTTTAGAAGGCCTGATACTGAAGATGAAACTCAAATACTTTGGCCACCTAATGAAAAGGAAGGACTCACTGGAGAAGAGCCTAATGCTGGGAACAATAGATGGCAAAAGAAGAAGGGGATGGCAGAGGATGAGGTGGCTGGATGGTCACTGAAGCAGTTGGCGTGAGCTTAAGTGGACTCCGGGAGATGGTGGAGGACAGGAAGGCCTGGAGGAATGTTGTCCATGGGATCATGATGGGTCGGACACAACTTCGCTAAACAACAACAACAGCAGCAACAATCTCTTGCCAGCAGCCCATCTTCCAGAAAGTGTAGCCTATAGTCCCAGAATCTGAATCACTCACATTGGCACCTGCTTTGTAGCCAGGTATTAACTTGCAGTATTTTTCTTTCCCTGACTATTCCTCTTCTATGAACTGGAAGGATAGAAAGGAAAACTATCTGAACTCCAATGTTCTTGATTTTTGTCCCTAGAACTTCAAAGTCTGACATGATTTCTTCAAAGCTCCTCTTGGCAGTATCATTTGCTCCCACATGTATAAGAAGGAAGGGATACGTGTCAGTGGACTGTTCGAGCCTTGGCAACTTTCAGTTATTTCACTCATCTGTGCTCCAGGGAAACAGCATTCCTGATGATTCCCCAGGTCTTCCTGACGTGTGTTTCCATCCCACACAACAGGGAGTCTCCCACAACTAGCACTCTTCTTTTCTTGTTCTTGCAAGCCTTGGTATCATTGCTACTACTCGGTTGACCTGTAGCCTCTTGCTCAGAGCTGCACCAGATGACTTGCAGGGCTCCCAATGCAGGCTGCGCTCCAGTCTCATCTGTGCGTGACTGAAAGCCGTTGCGAGTCCCCCTGCTTCCACTGCTGCAGTGCCTTCTAGCTCTTCTGCTCCTGTCACCCTTTTCCAGGGAGTTTCCTTCTCGTTTTCCCTTCCCTCAGGATTCTCTACTTTTGCCTCAGCTGGCTGTTGCCATTCTAGCTTTTGTACTACTGTTAGGTGGTGCAGTTGCACTGCTCTGTCTAAAAACTCATCTTCTTTTATTACCTAGATGGTGGGCACTTGTGTTGCTCAAGTGCTTTTCTTCTGGCCGGGCTGCTAACTTGCACTTGTTGCAAGTGTAGGCCATGTTGACCTCAGGCAGGGAAAAAAATTGTACAGTGATTGCAGGTCATCGCTACTAGGGGGCCTTCTTGCTTCATTCTTTCTGCTACCTTTTAAATTGTATCCTGCTGGGTCTGCTGTAACAGCCAGTGTCATTGGCCACCAGTAGGGCTTTTCTGCTAGACTTACACTCTCTGGTCTTCAAGGAGAGGAGCCGCTTCCCTTGTTCTGGGGCCTGGTGCAGTCACTCGCTGCTGTTGCCACTGTCACTGCTTCTTCTGAGCCTCCCCCCACCCCTGACCTTCCCAGCCACGGGAATTTCCACTTCTTGCTCCCCGTTGACCTCCAGGGGGGCTTTCTTTTGCTTGGCTCCTGCTTTCTGGCTTTCAACAGTCTGCAGTCATTTTCTGCACTCTGGGGCTCAGCATGGGTCCTCCAACAGGTCCCCGCTGCCTATCCAGGCACACTTTTAATGGTGGGGAGTGGCTGTGTTTGGGCTTTCCCCCCCTCCCATCTCAGTTCTTGGTGGTTACTTGGCACCATGCATGGCTGCTATGGGACTCCAGAAAGACAAGAAGTCACTGCCACTGCCTTTGGCTCCCACTGCTGCTTCCCATTTCTGTAAACTGTCTGCTTTCCAGTGCCGTTGTCAGTGCCCTTGTTTTCCTAGTCTGGGTCTGGCTATTCCCAGGTGCTGACTCTACACCCCTGGGGACCCCTCTCCTCATTGGTGCCACCATCTTGACTTACTTAAGAACCTTCCTTATGATATGATCAAATGCTTGAATGGGTGTCAAACATGGTTGTACCAAAATCCCTTTTCAATCATCTCAAAGTGCAGGACACAGAATGAAGGACCCAAGGTACAGGAAGCCACGTTCCAGCAGAACACCAGGAAAAACCTTCCTGTTAGAGCAGTACAGCAATGGAACTGATGATGCACTGTGGGGGCCACAGACTCTTTCACTTTGATCCACAGAACTGCTTACCTGTGTGAAAACACTGTCAGCTGCCCCTGGAAAGAGGAGTGCTGGTTTTTGCCTGCCACACCACAGCATCCTTTTGCAACCTGTAGGCGTGGCCTATCTTGGGTAGGGAGCAAAAGGACTACAGGAGCAAAGTCCCAGCAGATGCACAGACCGTCATGCAGGGTTCATTAGATTAAAGCCAATGTTAGAACCTTCCCTGGAGCCCCTCTCCCCAAAGCATGCCAAGACACCGAACAGCCAGAATTCTGTCTGGATCAAAGCAAGCTGGCTAGTGCCAGCTTGCTTCTGTTCCCTTCTGTCTTTGGAAACACCTTGCCTGAGGAAGCAACATGGGCAAAGGCCTCCTCGTCATCCCTGTGGGCTACAAGCCTCTGAGGCCATGCTCAGCAGTACAGAACTTCTGCTGCCAGGTATGCGCATGGCTCCCTCATGCAAGGCATGTGCTTGACTCTGCATGGAGGAGGGAGGGAGGGAGTCACGGTGCAAAGGAGGGCAGAGAGGAGTCAAGGCAATGAGAATGTACCAAGATTAAGGATTTTTGGCTGTTGCAGTGGGGCCTGGAAGACTATTTTTGGAGGATGGCTGTGGCACAGCAAGAGAGCCCCAGACCTGAGCCTGTATAGAAGGGAAGAAGGGTAAGGACGCAAACCTGCAGTGCATTTACAAGGTCCCTGTCCTCTCTGCTGGTAAGGAACACGGGCACGACTCCAGCGTCGTAGAGCTTCATCACAGCCTCATTCAGTTGTGGAGATGCTGCTGTTGTTGCTGGCCCATGGGTGAAGAAAACAGCCACCTTCCTCATGAGGAACCCACTACGTGCACGTTTGAATGTATTCCTGGCCACAAAGGACATTGCAGCTTCTAGATTTCGCTGTTTTGATGTCTGCTGAATTTGGAGGTCCTCGATCTTTTTCACAAGGTTTTTCTTCCTTCGGAAGTCAGCGAAACGGATCTCAGTGGTGATTTCGCTGTTGTATGTAACTAATGCAACACGGGCACCCCGTGGACAGTTGCTCTCAGCAATTGTGAGATCATTAAGAATTGTCAGCACAGCTTGCTTCGTTCTGTTGAAAACATCCGCCCTTCCACCAGCAGAGGTATCTATAGCAAATGCCAGTTCTGTTGGATATATTGGGCATTCTCTTGGACCTGCAAGTTATGGATATATTAAAAATCAAACGATATGATCAAACACATTTGCTTTGTAAGAGCAAGGGGCAGGATTCTACAACTACCTCAAGCCAGTGCATGTCCTTTGCGGTTACTGCTTAGATCAGTTCTTGATCTGATATACCAAAAACTAAGTAATTTAAGATGAACTTACCATAACAGCAAGCTGTGAATTACAAGGAAAGAAAGAAAAGACGTCAATTGCTTCATAATCTTTCACTAAAACAAACTATAAAAACATTAGAGACCAAATATGCAGACTTACGGCATTTGTCTTTGATGTTGCGTATAAGTGCACATTCCTTTAAGGAAAAAAAAAAAGACAATGATACAGATTTCTAGCATGAAGAAATGCTAAATACCCAATACCATGAATTAGTAGCTGACTTACATCTCTTGCTTCTCCTTTGTTACCCTTAAGTCCCTGTAAGAAATAATTTTAAAATGTAACTGTGACTGCAACACATATATGTAAAGGTCTGCTCCACGTGGCCCTGCACACTGAGATTTGGTGGGTGACTACTCACAAGTAGACCTTTTTTATCAACTCAACAGCAACAACAATGCTTCCTACACAACGTTCTATGTAGTTATTCCAGATGTGTGTCTCACTAAAGGCAGTACAGTTGTCTTCCAAATAACCATGTTCATGCGATTACAACAAAAGTTTCACTGGTTTATCTCTTGTATGAAAATACTGAGAACCACTAATTAGTACTACAGCTAAGGAGGATATGGACATTGTAAAAAGATCAGGCTTAAGAAAATGGCACTAATATGGCAGGGGAGGTTACAAGACTCAAGAAAAACTTGAAATACCTGAAACAAAATGAACATTTCTGCTGCACCTTTCAAAAGCTGAATTCAAACTTTGACATCCACTTTTGAAATAAAGATTTTGATTCTTCAGATTTATAGTCTGTGTATTTGAATACCTAAACCCTTCAGTTTAATTCAGTTCAGTATGATCATCAACTAATGTATATTTTACTAAACTACAATTATATTCCATACTGAGTCACAGAAGTGCTTTGCACTTCAGCTGGGAAGAACAAATGGACTCCCTGTTCAATGCTTCTTCTTCCAATTGCCCACCAATGGGGCAGTACACAACAAGGATCAGAGATCGCTGGCCTCACTAGGAGCACAGGAGGAAATCGTAGCAATGCTCACTTCCACGAGGTCAGTGGTGTTTGCAGAGGGGAGTTACACTGACCTGCCCTAATTCAGAAACAAACATTTCCACCTGTTCCCAGGATTACTGTCAGAAGCAAGTCTGTTACTCACAGTGGGTCCGTGAGCGCAACAGAACAAGCAAGAGCAGAGCAGCAGTACCAGATACTGTGTAAAGCAACACTTTTCCAGTTATAAGAGCAGGTCTGGAAAGTGCATAATGGGCATACTAGGGCTAATATATTGGGTATTACCCTGAAAGCTCCTCGTTTGACATTCTCGTGCACGCAGCATCGTGCCGTTTATGGCTCGTCCAATAAAAGTATAGCACGTGGACTACGTTTGTAGAACAAATGTGAAAAGGTGTTCCGAAACATCTTGGATTCTCAGGCTACTGAATTAATCATGTGCATAGCACGAGCAACTTACACTTGGTCCTGGGTATCCTCTCTCTCCTCTTGGGCCTCGTGCACCAGGTTCCCCTGCCCTTCCCTGAAGGGTAAAAGGCAACAAGTTGTAAACGTGCTTGACTGATGCAATACATACCTGCTCTTCTGAGCGTGCCCGCTTTGGCTTCGTTGGGTCAGTGCAATGGTTCTGCATACCATTGGTGCGAGCCTCTCTGCCTTTTGTGCAAGCCCTACAGTCATGATTGTGCCCATCCAGAGCTGCCCAGAGAACCCACTGGGCTATAGGGCAGCATATAAATACAACCAATTTACAAATAATGAATATTCTCTTGGATTGTACTTTAGCAGAGGAAGGCCTGCGGAATCTCCCCACCCCAACAAATTTGTCAAGCATTTCTTGTATTATCATTTACCCAAACATTTGTCAGCATGTCATTGTTTCGTGACTCTTCTATTACTTGTAATGTCTTCTTAAAGTCCAACTACAGAGTGCCCTAACAGTGCCGTGTGTAGCGGAGACATTTACTTTGGTGTAAGCAAGCACAACCCCAGTGCACATTTGGGACAACTTCATTTTAGAAGAGCAGGATTAACTCTCCCCCTGCACTGTTTACTTCCTGAAACAAAGAATGGGGAGTCTTTAAAACTTTAATCACATACACATGGGAGGGAGATTTGCGGAAATAAACAGTGGCCAGGGAATGCTTTAATTCTCCTTTCCTGGAGTGCAGGGGTCCTGATCCAAATCAGAGCTGCACATGCTTAGACCAGAGGAAATAAACAAGAACAGCTGGATGTTACACGTGATCTGCAGTTTGGGTCTCACTTGTCCTGAACATGCATTAGCTTTTTTATTTACTATACTATTTTAAGTAATTATTGTATGTTGCTTTGAGCAGTCTCTGGTCAAGAACAACAAATACATGTTGCAAATATTACATTTTTCTTCATACGGACAATGCAGATTCCTATGTCTATGATTCATATTAAATACAATCAGCTAAATGAACAGAGGGCACAAAAGGGCTAGTCGGAAGTATGCAGAAATCCTTGTGCATGGGTTCACACAGTTCTGTAACTGGCATGTCTTATGTGGTGTGGAAGGAGTGCGATATTACAAGGAATATTTGGCTTCATTGATTATTAGCATTACAACATCGGTCATGTTAAGGTGCTCTCTTATGCCATATATTGCTTCTGCTTTTGTATCTGTCCAGTATGGTGCATGTCCATACATAAACTTGTATTCTGTTTGGGAAGGGGAGACATCCAGGTTTGAAACTGAGACTTGGTGAATTCAGATTCATAGTCAGTGGATTTGAATACCTCTACCCTCCAGTTTCAGGTCTGAACTGCTGGACTTGTTCAGGCCTCTCTTCTTAAGTAGCACTATTATTGTTGTTGTTCATTTCAATTCTATATCACCCCATAGCCAAAACTCTCTGGGCAGTTTACAGAAACATTTCCATGTTCCATTACAATAATTTTTACATGTAAACAAAGGCAACAAATTGTTTCTTGGAATCTGAGTAAGAAATTCTTTTTTCTTTAACAGTAGGGTCTCTGTAAAGGATGTGCTAGCCCCTTGGCTGGCAAGTTTCACTTTTCTTATGCAGTGCTCTACAATAAGCTATAGAACAGTCCTACTCTGAGCAGGAGATACAGGAAGATGTCGTCGTATCGGACCCTATGGATATTGAGGTTTGATTCTAGGTACAGTTGAACCACAGGGTACATAGATGCTCAGACCAGTCTCCTGGTAAACTAAAAGTGGGAGATGTTTCTTCTCCTGGAAATATTTATCCCAGCTATTCCTAGAATGATTACACATTATATGACCTTTCTCAAATTAGCCAATATTTATATTTTGATCCCATTCAATGAGTTTTTCAAATGTAAGCAAGCTCTCCTATTGTAGGTCCCTACTTAGTGATAATTTCATTATCAGGTTTACTGTACTAACATCAATCCAGTAATGGTGTTAGAAAAAGTGCCATTATTAGTGAGTAATAATTACACCACCTCTACTTTGGAGCCTTGGTCATTGCTGGGGAAATAATTGCCTTTATCTTTCTTATGAATCAATAGAGCTATGGAGGAAACTTTGACAGAATAGGATTTAGAGGGGAAAAATTGCTGTGAAGAATGAAAATGGCTCAGTTGGCTTCATTTTAATCTTCTGGAATCAAACAGAAAGCCACATTACCCTGTGACCTCTGCTTCCTTTGGGGCCAGGATCACCAACAGTACCAGAGTCTCCAGGTGCACCCTGTTAGGAAAAGAAACAAGGCATTGACTCTCTGGCAAGCACCGTCCATGAGCAACTGCATTTTAGCACAAAGTTCATGAGTGAGAGTGTTCTAAATACCCTTTGTCCGGGATATCCTGGGAAACCAGTTTCTCCCTGTGAAAATAAGAAACAGTTTTGAGAATCACAACAAGAAGAAGGTTATTTTCTGATCCACTCTCCATTCACTATCAATAGAATTATTGATTAAGTTGATGCACTGTAAACCACACTGCAGGTAATAATACGATGTCATTCTGATTTTGCAGCTGGTACAAAGCACTAGAGCCCGCCTTCTCTTAGGACAGAAGGGATGAGGGTCACTGAAGAAGAATGAGGGACTTTTCACATCAGTGGTCCAATGTCTGACACTCTCTGTAGTTGCTTCTGGACTCGGTGTAATAAGTTGGTCATGACCTGGAAAGCCCTAACAGCCTGGGTGCAGTATGTTTCCATACTCCATTGTAGATAAAATGGGAAGACTGTGTAATAGCCAGTGCTTTTTTTTGTAAAAAAAAAAAAAAAAATGGTGCCGGGACTCACCTCGCCACCGGCAGTAAGCACACGCACCAATCCCAAGCAGCGGAGCAGCTATCTCTCACTATCAGATAGCAGATCACAGACACAATAGCAGCCTGCAGGCACTATGTTAATGATGTTTGCTGCTGATCTGCTACGCCAAAATCACTTCGTAAAATCCATTGAAAAAAAGTGCCAGAACAATCCATTGAAAAAAAGTGCCAGAACACTGTTCCGGTGGGTTCTATGACAAAAAAAGCCCTGGTAACAGCTATGTGGAATGTGCACTGAAGACAAGGTTTGGTTTGAACCTTGCTCTGCCACTTCAGAAAAGCTGCTAATTGGGCCTGGACTGAGCTGGACACCACTCACTTCAATTCAAGTATGAATAACAACCTTGCTTCAGAAAACCCTACGGTTTCTATGGTTCCTCTTGCCTAGAATGGGAAAATCACTCAACATTTATTTTGTCAGAATTGGACAGAGTGTGTTGGCACCTCTGTGCTACTTTATCTAAGTTCATTGTTCTCTCGCTATATTTAAACAGATGAAGCCTATTAAGGTTCAGGCAAATACATGCAGCCTTTTCGTACACGTGGGTTGTTGTTATTAAATAAACAAATATGCCTATAATATTTTATTCCTTGCTGGAATTGGATGCAATTGCAAGTGCAGTTGCAGCCACTACAAACTAGACAATGAACCGAACCTTTCAGAGGGAGTGCAGCCCCATCCAGAATAGGTAATGATACTCTCGCTTGAGCTTGGGAACCACTCACCCTTGGGGCCTTTATCTTTTTTATTAAAAATATTTATATCCCATCCTTTACAAAACATCCCAGGATGGCTTACAAACCATAAATAATCAAACAATAACTAATTACATCAAAATACAACATAATAAGCATAACAAAGCATAGCAGAACATAACAATGTTAAAACCAAGTTAAAATAATTAAATATTAAAATATTGGGCAAATAAAAAGGTTTTAGCCTGGCTACTATAAGACCAGGCTGGCTACTATTGGAAGCAAGATGCTAATGCTAGAATATAAAATAGACTGGTTTTGCTCTGACCTCAACAGGTTTTAAGTGTAATTCCAGTGCACTTTAGGGTTATAGGCCCACAGGTTATATAGTAACAATTACCAAAGGAATCCTATAAATGCAAAACAAAAATGCTCAGAATCAGATCCTGTAAGCTGGTCAAGGGGCTGAGAAGAACTACCCCTTCCAATATCAATTTATAGTTGTTCCCTTCCAAATTCACTGGCTGCTTCCTCTGGGACCACATTGCCCAAAGGGGGAATCAGATTTTCCTGAGAAACTCTACTTTTGTTCATTCTGACAGATCATCAACTCATTTACAGTATTTTCCTTGTGTTTCTGCAGCACTATCTGTTGCAAACAGACATTTTGAGATGGGGTGATCAGAATGCTATTTAGCATTCAAGTTACATGCATGCACACACCACAGATTTTATCCTATATGAATGTATCTTCATTTTACCCAAGCCAGCTGCACTGTTTGCACTGCAAGTCTGCTTTGAAGACTGGGGAAACTTCAGGTGTGCATATAATTGCAAATAGACTGAGACTATGCATACCCTTCTGCCTTTAGCACCAGCCGTGCCGACTCCGTCTCGACCATCCTCTCCCTGCAAGATGTAAAGACACAGTAGATGAATGTACAGTGCATACTGGAGTGCAGAAAAGTGTTCGCTTAATTTAAACTGTCAAGCTAGGATACTGAGATCAAACTTTTCTGAGTGTATGCCTTGAAATAACAAAGCAAAGGAGTTTAATCAGAAGGCTTATGGAACAACTAACAAGCCATCTCTGGGCTGGCCTTGGTGGGGTGACCAGTCTTTTCAACATCTCTCTCTCTAAAAAAAAGGGGGGTGGGGCTAAGGGGATTTTCTGTTCATTTCTACAGGATGATGCTGATTAGCCTAGCCCATGGGTCCTCAGGCTACAGCCTGTGGGCCGGATCCAGCCCACCATGCCCATTTATCTGGCCCACCTCGGAGGTTCTGGACTCCCCGCACCTGTGCACGACGAGGTGGCGGATTGCTCACTTGGAGATCATTTTGAACTCGCTCAGAGATCTCCAAGCGAGCAAGTCACTGCCTTGCCACGTGTGCCAGCTGCCACCCCCGCCTCACCGGCCCGCACCCGCTGCCGCCACCTTTCAACTGGCCCCTGTTGAAAAAGTTTGAGGACGGCTGGCCTAGCCCCAGTTTCCATTTAGTCCAGCAGCATTCTTACCGTCTCTCCTCGAGGCCCAGGTGGACCATTGGGCCCCTTTGGACCAGGGTCACCAGGTTCACCCTGTAATTAAAAACAGTGATTTTAACTTACAATGTGGAATGGTGGCTACAAACATGGCTATGAATCAGGGTGTCCCTGTTGTGGAGGCCGTGAGTAGCCTTGGGAAATTCACCCTCACCTTCAGCACCCTCATCTACGGGGATCAGAATGCTCTCTCTTAAGGGTTATTTGTACCCCAAGCCAGGCTCTTAAAGAGTTTGTCAGCACTGCTAGATTTTATCTATCACATTTAGAGTTCAAAGCTATTTGTTAAAATGAAAAAAGCTGATGCTAACAGGAGCCATGGATGATTATCATAACTCACTTTGAATGCAAAAGCAATATTGCTTTTCAGTGTAATTTCAACATTTACTTTTCAGTAAGTGCCTTTATCACTTACTTTTTTACCGAAAGGACCAAGTCTGCCACGCTCCCCAGCAGAACCAGGTAGACCTCCAGCACCCTATGGAGACAAGGTCTGAAGCTTAGCAATAAGCCAAAAAAATTAAAACAAAACTTTACTAAACACATATATGTAACAACAGAATAATTTTCTAGGAACATATTTGTGTAGTGTTACAAACAAATGTCTTACAAATATGGTAATGTAATGTATTTTCACTGAAAATATTTTCCTGAAATGCATTTATTAATTAAAACACTTAAAAAAATTATTTTCAAATGAGCAGGCGTAAGATTAGAACTCTATAAAGTACAACGAAAACAATAAAACATAATCAGGCAAAGAAGGGTGCAAGTACAGCAGAGCAAATACAGTGTATCGGCTAATTAAAATGCCTGGGCAACCAGGTATTTGAGCTGATTCTAAAGCAGTAATACTGTTGGTGCCAATCATGGAGACCATAGTGGAGAAGACTATCTTTTATTGACAAATAATATATAGAAGAACAAGAACTTTAAGGAAAAAAAAACTTCCCTGGCAATCTTTGTTCATAGGCGGGTTGATGGTGCTCTTGCAGATCTTTGTTCCAACATACTGGGTGAATTCTTACACAATGGCAACCATTATTTAGCATTGTGTGTGTAAACAAACACGTGCAAGCACAGAACCATTATCTCAAGTGCTCCTGCCTCCCTGTTCCTGTACATCCAGGAGCGAAATACATCAGCCTTGAACTTCATTTGAGCAGATTCCTGGCTTGCCCATGCATATGAACCAGGAATAGTAGTTAAAATAAACTCTAGCCAACCCTGCTTCAAATGCTAGAAGGTTTTTGTGATTTGTTTAGAAAGCTAGAGTTTATTTTAAGATACAATTCCTGGTTTGCACATAACAACAAGCCAGACATCTGCTAACGTGAAATGAGCTCCTGCTGCATTTGGGGCATGGGGGTGGGGTGTGAGAACCTGGTGCTTCATGCGAAGCTACACAGAGGGAATTCTTGCAACTTCTCTGCATGCTATCACAATGTTACAGCACCTAAATGCAAGTCAGAACTTGGATTGACACCTTTTGGACTGACAGAAAGCAAGCACTGTGGGTATCTTTCAACTTTAGATGTATTTTAGATGCTTCTCCCATCTAAAAGTGCATAAAAATAAGTTTTTGGCTCACACTTTATATGCTGCAGAGACTTCCACAACTGACTGTGGGTCATATGCAGAAAACCTGCTGGGCTTGATCTCCTTTTGGAAAATAAGAATAATTCAATATTTTTACCCTTGGGCCAGGAATGCCTTGCTCTCCCCGAAGACCAGGTGCTCCAGCTTGGCCAGGTGGACCCTGTGTAAATAGGCAAAGGTAGAAAAAACTCAGTACCACCACACAAAATAACAATAGCTTAAGACCTAGGGTCAACTTTTGAAGTTATTGTACATTTATTCTTTCTTATGAGTAAAACTCAAGAACTCTTGTGGGCATTCCTGGAGTGCAGAAACCTCTACACTGCTGCAAGTACCCTTAAGGGTAAATGTAAAATAAAATAAAGGTCCTTCAGCCACTTCCTAAACTTCAAAAGGAATGTACAAACACTGTCCCCCAGCCTAAGGAGAAAATTATTCAAAACTTTCCCCATCTCTGAATGTGGAAGGAGAAAAAAAAAAACCCTTTTTCACAGTGAGAGACAAAATTCCTGCAAATAGAGGTAGGGTTGAGCACAGCACAAGTAACTGTTAGTTAAGATCCCCTGAGAATTAACTGTCTGTGGGAATATAATAAACTCTGTATCTTCAGTTATTGATCCTCCCTCCCTCACAGACAGACACAGACATGCTGCCCTTGTGAATGGGCAACTTTTTATCTTATGTATCCATTTTCCCACTTGCACTTCACATTGTTTCCACTGCTCACAATTATAAAACTTGACAACTGAGAATAACTAAACTCTATTAGTTTTTGATGTGCCACAAGACTCATTTTTGTTGTTTTCCATACAGTAGACTAGCACACACATAACCTGACTGTCAAGATGAGCTGCAAGATTTTCTCACCTCTGGCCCTCTTGTACCCTGTTTTCCTGCAGCTCCTGGTAGTCCTGCTGCACCTCTGTTTCCCTAAAATATAATATAGTAAATTGAGTGGTCAATGTAATGAAATTTGACAACACTAGATTTAGGGCAGACAACCTCAATGGCTTCGTAACATCATAATTAACTTCTGCATTCTTTTGTCACAAGATCTGGCAAAGAATATGGCATACAGCTACATCTGGAAATTGGCAGGATTAAGGATTTTCTGCTGTGAGGCCTCGTCTGTTTTCCCACACCTTCACTCCTCATGCCCAGCCTAGTTTCAACTCCCTTTGCCCTTCTTTTGCTCCCAATTCATTCTTCACATAGGTTGCTCACTTCATGTTTGATTCCAAGCACTTCGTGTATGTTGAGCACTTTGCTCTGTGATTATATCCAAGATTCATCAAAATGTTGCTTGCACTTCAGTTTTCTACTTGAAAAGTTACTCCAACTTTTGTGTCTAACTCTTTGGTTTGGCAAAAAGTGCACCCAGAGATACACGCACAGCCCTGTCACAAGAAGCCTAATCAAATTCACGAGAAATGCTTTTCAGATCCAGAGCATCCATTGCATCTGCCAGCATAGTGTTGCACCAACGAGTACCATACCTGAGCAGAACCAAGGAAAGCTTTATGAACTGGTCAGCTACTCCTAGCAGGTGTGCATATTGTGCAGGGCTTGAGTACTGAATTATAAATTTCCCAAGCATTACCTCTTAGACAAAGGTTCCTAAGTGCAAAGTACTTCTCAAGTTTCTGTGAATTCTGACAGATATTAGAATTTAAAACATTCCAATTCCTATTCTTCCAATCTGGGGTTTCAGCAGTTCCAAATTTGTACTCAGACTCCTTTTGTCTTTTCTGTGTCAGTGTGGGCATGTGCGCACTGTGCAAGTGCAAGAGTTCACTTACTTTGACTCCTGGAGGTCCTCTTCTGCCAAGTCCTCCCTGTGAATCAACAAAGCACAGTCACAGAGAGTCATGCCGAGCAACAGCCCCTCATTCCACCTGTGCTCTGCAGGCTCCCCCTTGATTCCCTGGGACTATTCTGCACATCCTTCATGGGAAAGCAGGTGGAAGATCAAAGCGAAACTGAGTCGGAAGCACAGGGCCAGGCTCTCTCTCAGCCAGTGGGGAGGGAGGCATGACGTAGCGCCTGGCTTTCTGCTGCCATCCCTCCAGCTCAGCTTCCAAGCACTCAGCAGACACTTGCCTCGCTTGGCCACCTCCTGGCCCTCAGTGTGGCTCCCCTGCTGATGGCCACTCACGGTCCTACCCAGCAAGCTTCCACTTTCCCTCCTCCAGCTCTCCGTTTCCCTTTGAAAGCCGTAAGACCAGGAAATGTGCCTCCCCTGCCTGGCAATCGAGCCTTCTTTGATTGCCTCCCCACCAATAGGCAGGGCTGTGCCTCCTTCACCATGGTGCCAGGAGAACCAGCTCCCACCGTGCCACTGCTTTGCCTGCCCTCCCCTGGCCTCAGCGACATGGGCATTGCCATTAAAAACACATAGAAGCATAGAGAGCGAGTCAGAAGGGGCCTCCCGGGCCATCTAGTCTGCCCCCTGGCTCCACTCACGACATGCCCACCATGTGGACGTCCAGCCTATCCTTGAATACCCGCATCAATGGGGCCTCAACGACCTCTCGACCTCCACACCCTCGGGGTCCTGACTGTCAGGAAGTGCTTCCTGGCATCCAAATGGAACCTCGGCTCCCTGAGCTTGGCCCCGTTGGAGCGCGTCCTGCCCTCCTCTGCATATTGCCTTCCTCGGCTGGCGCAGTGGCGCTTGCTCATAGTTGCCATGTGTGTCCCCACTTAAATCCAGGAATGTGTCCATGGTACAATCTCTCTCTTCCACATTATATGAAATCTGCATTATGCCTTGGCCCGTGTGTGTGTAGCAACCAACTCAGAGCAACCCTATACAGGGGTTTGCATCCCTGCGGCTGACAGAAGGAGGCTCTTTGATCCGGCGACAGCATTCACTGGCCTCCCTTGCCATACCCACAGCAGAGCCCTCTCCTGGATCAGAGAACCTCTTATCTGTAGAGGAAGATCAGTGGGTAAAACCCGAGGGATCCACCAGTGCTGCTTTTGCGGCAGGAGCAGAGCACCATGCCTGTGGGGGGAGAGGCAGCTTGGCCAGGGACCTCACCAGGCGAAGCTGTACTAGGCAGACCTTGACCAAGTCACAACTTGGCTTCATAATGAAATAACACAGATAATAATAAGAGCAACAGACACAGTAGTAATTAATAACCATAATAATCAATACTTTCTCAGGCAAACATGAATACCCACATGCACTGAAGTCAGTCATGGGGATCATATAAAAATAAATAGATCAAAATGCCTTTAGGGGCCCCAACTTGTGACACTTCCTTGATTGGCATGGTGAAGTTCAAGCAGAACAGCAGGAGGAAAGCAGTGATACTCACAGTCCTTCCAGGATCTCCTGGGGGGCCTGTAGGTCCGTCTCTTCCGCGTTCTCCCTGCAAGAGACAAAGCACACAGCTCATTTCTGGTGACAGAGGCAAATGAGGCCAAAACCAGATACTAAGCATTTTGATTGAATTGTCAGTTTCTACTGCAGCATGAATCCAAGGCAATATGCTTTACCATTGGTCCGAGTTCACCCTTTTGGCCTCTGGGTCCTCTCTGGTTGTTATCAGCTCCTGGCGTCCCCTGGAAGCAGTCAAAGCAGAAAAAAGCAAGTGAGGCAGTGAGGGAGGCATGCCGCCTCCAGTCCTTGTCAGGCCTGGCCCAGCCGTCAGCCCAGGGGAGGCAGATTCTGGGGGAAACAGTAGGAGCAACCCATTCAGCTGCTGCTCGCTTCTTCCGGAGTCCCTGGCTGTTCTCCTCTGCTGGAGCTTTGTATGCTATACCACCTGGCCTGGACACTCCAAACTAGCTTAGCTGTGGTAGGACACTATTCTATCACCAAAGCTGAAGGAAGAGCCACCCACTAGTCCCCTTCCGCACATGGAATGGAGAGGGGAGTCCTCTTGTGCTTCGCCTCTGACAGCAAATGTCTGTGGCTGCCCTCATGCACTGAGGCAGACTGAGGACAGAGAGTGACGGGCTTAAACCGGAGAGATACTACTGGCTGAAAGCACTGTGTCCCCATCTCTAGGTCTAGATTACCCTGAAAGGGTGTTAGGACAGTAACATAAGGAGCTTCCTGACAGAAGGATGAGAATGCCATAATTGTATCACATGTGTGTCTGAATGAATTAGACAAAGTATTTTGCAAGGGTGTTTCTAGTCTAGAAACTCTCAGACTGAATTGTACTGTGCTTCTCTAATGTTAACCCTCAGATTTGGAAGAAAAATAAGAAAGGAGAAACGAGGTAAGAACCCCAGCAAAGGTGAGTCTCATAAAAATAGGAGCTCATCCTCGTGTGCATGAAGTGGCGCTGTGCAGGCATTCTACACGGCTGCCCTTGGACACAAGGTGACGGGCTGCTGGGACTGAGGCGCTGTCCCCACCCCTCGCTGCACTTGACCTGCCCATGTGCCACATCTTGCCTGCACAGAGGTCCATGGGACACACAGGCTCTAGTTCTGTGATTGGTGCCCTTCCAGAATGGGAGGAGGGCTTTTGCAAACTCTCCCTGAAGAGATTGCATAAGCCCCTGTGCAGGACACGTGGCGACCTCAGTCAGGACTAGTGGGCATCGTGCCAACTCCCCACCCATCACTGTCCAGCCATGCAGAAGATTTGCAGGGGGCCAGGTCCTTTGCCATTGGAAGCGCTGCACTCTAGACTAAGGTCTGGGCGGGTTGGAGGCAGACACAGAGAGGGAAAGGCAATGAGTTGTCCCTTCACAGCTAGCTGGGCATCCTTCAGAAAGGAGGCTGTCCATACATTTTGAGAACCACAGAAACTGTTTCTCCTGAAAAGGGAGAATGAGAACAGAGGATTTCATGCAATGAAACCCTTTTGAAACTATTTTATTGATAAATGAGAAATGCAGTAGCGACAAAAAATTATCACAGGAAGTATTTTCAAAACACTTAGCCTGAAACACCCCAGGCAAACTGCATTTACATCATTTATTCATGGAAGCAAATAAGTCAGCACATCATTGTGATTCATGACCACCGTATCAGGTCCATGTCCACATTCATGGTTATTCTAGACAAGGCCGCAGGAGAGGCCACTCACCAGCTGCACAGAAGCCTCTGGCAGGATGGAGTCTCCCTCCCTACTGCAGTACCTGCAGGTGCCCCCTGAATCTGTGCTGGGGGGACATGAAGAGCCACAAATGGGAAAGCAAAGGGAAGCCCTACGGTGTGAAGGGGTTTAATCCACAGGAAGGAGGTTTGTATCGGCTCTGGCATGGAAAGTCAGTCTCTCATATGTATGATGCGGGTAAGAAGGTATGCTTTCATAGCCTAATCTGTGTTAGTTGTTAATACAGTTACGGTTGTTAAAATACTTTTACACTTTTTTCCCCGTCTTCACCAAAATAAGAATATTTCCTTCACCAATTCATCTGTATATCCAAAGCTTTTTGTTCAGTGCCTTATTAAGAGACTTGATTTGTTTTTGGCATTTTCAAAGCATATGCCACACAATTAATCTGCTCTGAATTTAGATTTTTCTGCATTCTTATTAGAAAAGCCCAGCTCACCCCACAGCAGAGACCTTTAGGTGCTCCAGCTAGAAATATTTGATTGCAACTGACTTCTATTGACTCTGTGAGTTCAGTTTTCAGTCATCACAGAAAAGGTAACTGTATTCACATATTACATGGAAGCATGGGGCATCCAATGTTTTGTTGTATAGGAGATACCACTTTGTTTCAGATGGTACATTCCCTGATAACCACAGGGGTATCAAGGTAGCTTGCAAATATGTATTATTTTAATCTGAGGCCATTCAACTTTGGATGTGAAATGTGTGTTTCTTTGCTGTGGTATGTGGAATTTTTTAATTTTGCAAGCTGCTTAAAGAAGATGTTGTCTCAAAGGAGTCCTATAGGGAAAAAGAAATAGCCTCTGGATTTATAGAGAAATGACTCCTATCGTTAGTGTGTGAAAACTGCAACAATCTGAAATGTGACCATGGGGTCCTCATATTTTTCAGTTTGCTTACTGGATCTCCTCGCAGTCCGTGGTCACCTCTTTCTCCTCTTTCCCCTTTGATTCCTTTACCACCCTACAAAGAAACATAGAAACAAAGAGAGTCAGAAGGAGCCTCCCAGGCCATCCAGTCTGACCGCCAGCTCCAGCCAGCCCTGCTTGTATAATTCCCATAATAATATGTGGAAGATATATATTCCATAATATATGGAAGATGTTTCTATAAAATCGTGGAGTTGGAAGTCATTGAACACAACCATGACATTCTGTAGTTAATGTGCCAGTCTCCACCTTGTATGTTATGCACCCACCTTCAAAACTGCTGCTTGCTCAAGGGGGACATCAACATTTACTCCAGGATCAGAGGCAGCATGCCAGTGAGTACTAGCTAACTGAGAACATGAGCAGAAAGCTGCTGTTGTGTTCATGGATCTCCCATAAACAACAGGAGCAGAGTGCTAGAACAGGCCTTTTAAAAAAATCTCTATCAAGCCACGAAAGGAGTACTGGGTCAGGCATCTCTGTCTCACAATGCCTGGCTTACTCAGCGCAGTGAGTTGCAATCTTCAATGCTGAGGCCTCCATAATGCCAAACAAGGGTTCCCACTGTAAACCCCGTGGATATAATAATAATAAACAGCAACATTTATGCAGCTGCCTGTTCTGATGTGGGACCACTCATGCCTATGCAAACCCCATTCCAACTCTGGGATCATGGGTGTAACGCTTTCTCTGCTTGCACGCTGGCACCAGCGCTTGCCCATGCATTTTCCTACTGCATTTTAAGTTTTGTGAAAGAATGTGTAACATTAAACTTACGCGTCTGCCAGGGCTTCCCCTCTCTCCGGGAGAACCTGGATGTCCTCTGTTTCCCTAGCAAAAGCAATTGAAGTATTTAAATCAATCAATGACTTTCAGCAAACAGATCAATGACTTCTATTGAGAAAACTGGTATTTTCTTAGAAAGATCAGCTCTAATTACCTCTTCTCCATCTATTCCATCAAGACCAATCTCTCCCAATTCGCCCTGCAAAAATGAAAAGAAGTAAATATTATAGCATGAAATAGTCAATACTCACAAAGGTAGCAAGAAATAGTCAATACTCACAAAGGTAGCAATGAAAATATATATAGGATAGGCACATGGACATGCATTTTTTTCTTCTGATATCTCAAAATATGCACATACCTTTTCCCCTGGGAATCCACGATTCCCCTAGGGAGAGAGGAGAGAAGAAAGATTATTCATGTGACCAAAATCTCATTTCCTGAAAATTGAAATGACTAGAGGAGGGAGACAGCAAGACCTTTTGAATTCTGTTTTCCTACTGACTTTGAGAAGAATTGGAATGCCCCCAAAGTTATTAGGAAAAAGAGCAAGAACGTTGAAGCACCGACACAGTAAGCAGAGAATCCTCCTTTTGAAGCATTTTACAGGTCTTCCATGTGACGCACAATGTCCCCCTGTGATCTATGTAGACATGAATAGTGATGTGACGGGGAGAAGGTTGTATGGATAGAAAGGAGTTAATAAGCCCTATACATTTCTATCCAGAAGTTCAATGGGATTCTAGGACTGAAATCTTATTTCCTATACACATTTCACTGAGTTTAAGTCTGGGGGGGGGGGCATGCAGGGAGAGGTCAGGATACTGTTTTTAAGATAAATCTCTATTATTGCTAGGTATGGATGAATCTGTTTTGATTTCTGCAAATATATATCCTGTATATTTTTTATTCAGCTTAATGAAGGATAAGTTAGTTTCATCCCATTTTTATAGCATGGCAAATTTTATTTAATAAAGATGAATTTTATTTAATAAAAGTCCACATTAAAATCTATATGAATTTTTGTACCTATTCCCTCTATTGTCATTTTTCTATTACTGTTGCAGCACAGTCTTATCTCTCATTTTTTGCCAAGGAACCCAAGGCAGTGCTCATATAATCCTCCTTCCTTCCATTTCATACTTCATGGTTTTACTCCATTGTATGCATGTGAAGTTTGTATACATTGTATATGTGGTTCTTCTTATCTATGCATAGGTATGCATTCTCCCAAAATGTATACAAAAAACATACAGTGGGAAAACACATTCCATGGAAGAAATACTTTAGAAATTCATAATGCATATATAATGTATGAATTTTGTGCACAAGTTTTGATCAGTGCAACTGCATTGCAACGTCTGGCAAAATGTGAAAAATTAAAAAGAAATTCCTTATTACTTAAAGCATGGTAGATCAGGTCACTGTATTAAAATTTGGACTTAATTTCCCTCCCATTCCTAAATTGCAGGCTTTCCTTTATGAAACGGAGTAAGAACAGCCCTGGATGCTTCAGCCAAATGGCGTTCAGAATTGTATTCTTTCACCACCACATTGCTTTATTCTGTTAGTAAGCCCTTTGCTGAATTTGCAATATTTATAATAAACTTAAGCATCTTTTGCATATGCTGCATTCTAGGTTGCATTCATTTCATGAAACATGATCTACTACTGAACTTAATATTGCAGCTATTGCCAAATAAGTGTTCATATGTGCTGGAAAAGAGACCCCCCCCCCCCCCGTCATGAAGCAGAGTGGGGCACACAGTAGCAACTTGTACCACTTTGCCTCCCCCTGCCAGAAAGGAACAGCCTCTGGAACAGCCACCCGCCCTTCCCCTGGCGCCTCACAAGTCCTCGCTGAGCTGCGGCAAGAGCCCCACACTGGAAAGAGCCCAAAGAGCGGGTGCAAAGGTAAGGGGAAGGGGGGCATGAGGTAGTGGCAGAAGGGGCATGGCGCAAGGGCGATGGAGAGAACAGGTGTAATTTGGCAGCCGTGGGTCCTGTGTTTCTCCCAAATATGGTGGCAAGGAGCTTTGGGCTGGGCTGGTGATAAGATCAATCTACCAGATTGTCCCCCTGAAAAAATGGACATCCTTCATTATCCTTTGCAGTTTAGCAGTTAGCTGCATGGAATTTTATTTATTTATTTATTTAGGCATTTATATGCTGCCCCATTCGCCGAAGCCTCGAGGCGGCTCACAATATGAAGAAAATTACTAAAGTGACAATATAAAAAATAACAATATAAAATAAATAACAATATAAAAGAAGTCGCCCTGGCCAGAATCTGCCAGAAACCTCACAGACTCTGATGAGCAAATCACTTAGAAATATGCAATGTGCTGTAAGGCATCCCCTTTGTACAGAACTGACATTAGGGATATGTTTGTTCTCCACTCCAGAATGGTTTGATATTTTGCAGTAAATATCTACAAGTAGTGTAAACTGGACTGATGCCTATTGACAAGTGGGTACCTTCCCTTACTCTCTATATCTTGTTTGCTGGCTTGTTTTAATACCTTAGTTCCTCTCTCTCCTGGACAGCCTTGGAATCCCTGAGTTCCATTGACCCCCGGTGGTCCACGATCACCCTGTTGAAAGTAAGGAATAATGCAACAGTTAGCATTTATGCCTGTTTGCTCATAGATGGACTTCAGAGTGATGGCATGAAGGAAAATGGGTGAACGAATAAATGAATGGAGGGAGGGAGGGAGGGAGGAAGAAAAAGTGTAGGAAGCACCAAGTATAATGGGTCAAATGCACAAGTTAGTATGGATATTTTGGATTAGCTACACTACTGCATATGCTTGTGTTTGGAGGGCGGGGGAGGGGGTCAGTATAGGGTGATGTTTGGTGTATTGGACCAGGGACCTGGGCATGCATGTGAGGCTGTTGGTGAGAGGTTTTTGTTGTAAGGCGGCTTCCTTTCAGTAGCACCACAACAAAATGGGAGGGACAGCAGGCACACACAAAATTAGACACTTTAATTCCCCTCTTCCTTTTTTTCCTCTGGACACATGAAAAGGAAGGATGAGTACTTGAAAAAAGTAAATTTACTCACCGGTCCACCTTCATCTCCTGGATAGCCTCTGTATCCATTTTCCCCTGGAACTCCCTTTAAAAACACAATGCACATGGTTGATATTTCCACTTAAATCCATATACATGAGATTCCCTTTTAATATCCTGTGTTCTCTTCTTTAATCTCCATTCAAAACCTTTTTGACTGTTTAAAAAAATTGATGTCTAATAAACTACTACTTTACTACTTTTACAAACAATAAACTAGCTTAACTAAGCAAATTATCTCAACAAATCTTAAGTCTAGATTGTTATCTTTATGATCTTTCATGAAGAAATAATGCTTTTCTTCTCTAATTTTAATGACTTGCAGATGCTGAGCTAATTTCTTGTACGTGGAGTTCTATATCAGTGTTTATAATAAGAGCAGGCTAAATTATTCCTTATAGGCTCAAGGTAATGCACACGATTTGACTCATGCAGCAGAAGATTCTGCATGCCAGCATTTTATTCATTAAACTACTGCCAGTCTCTGCCCAGATAATGGATAAGAACACCAAATTCTGAGTGAAAGATGGAAGATTTGCCTTTTGTTGTTATAATTACTGAAATTCTCTCTCATACCAATTTGACACTTGGTAAATTTAAAGAGACAAGATTGAAGTAATGTATGGGAGCCTGGTTCTTTCCAGATTGAATTAGGTACGTATATCACCTAGTTCATTACAAAACAAAACCTGGGATCTTAATAGACACCCTAGGTGTGCTGATTTACTAGCTGCATTTGGAACTTACTGCTCTATGAATAGCCTGATCATTAATTGTTTTTGTTAGTAGCAAAGTTGTGCCCAACCCATCATGGACAACATTCCTCCAGGCTCTCTTGTCCTCCACCATCCCTTGGAGTCCACCCAAGCTCACACCCACTGCCCCAGTGGCTCCATCTATCCACCTCATCCTCTGCCGTTCTCTTCTCCTTTTGCCCTCAATTGTTCCCAGCATCAAGGTCTTCTCCAGTGAGCTGTTCTTTCTCATTAGGTGGCCAAAATATTTGATTTTCATCTTCAGTATCGGGTCTTCTAAAGAGCAGTCAGGGTTGATCTCCTTTAAGATTGACTGGTTTGATCTCTTTGCAGTCCAAGGGACTCTCAGGACTCTTCTCCAGCACCACAATTCAAAGGCCTCAATCCTTCAGTGCTCAGCCTTCCTTATGGTTCAACTTTCACAGCCATACATTGCAACTGGGTAAACCATAGCCTTGACTATACGAACTTTTGTCGGCAGGATTTTTAGTATGCTGTCTAGATTTGTCATAGCTTGCCTCCCAAGGAGCAAGCGTCTTTTAATTTCTTGGCTACAGTCACCATCTGCAGTGACCTTGGAGCCCAGGAAAATAAAATCTGTCCATTTCTTCCCCATCTATTTGCCAGGAAGTAATAGGACCAGATGCCATGATCTTAGTTTTCTTGATGTTGAGTTTCAAGCCAACTTTTGTGCTCTCCTTCTTCACCCGCATCAAGAGGCTCTTTAGCTCCTCTTCACTTTCTGCCATGAGAGTGGTATCGTCTGCATATCTGAGGTTGTTGATATTTCTCCCAGCAATCTTAATTCCAACTGGTGATTCATCTAGCCTGGCCTTTCACACAATGTGCTCTTCATATAAATTAAATAGGCAGGGGGACAATATACAGCCTTGCCAAACGCCTTTCCCAGTTTTGAACCAATCAGTCGTTCCATGTCCAGTTCTCACTGTTGCTTCTTCACCTGCATACAAGTTTCTCAAGAGACAAATATGATGGTCTGGTACTCCCATCTCTTTAAGAACTTGCCACAATTTGTTGTGATCTACACAATCAAAGGCTTTAGTGTAATCAATGAAGCAGAAGTAGATGTTTTTCTGGAACTCCCTAGCTTTCTCCATGATCCAGCATATGTTGGAAATTTGATCTCAAGTTCCTCTGCCTCTTCGAAACCCTGCCTGTACTTCTGGTAGTTCTTGGTCCACATACTGCTGGAGCCTAGCTTGTAGGATTTTGAGTATAACTTTGCTAGCATGTGAAATGAGTGCAATGGTGCAGTAGTTGCTCATTAATTAGAAACATAGAAACAGAGCAAGTCAGAAGGGGTCTCCCAGGCCATCTAGTCTGACCCCCAGCTCCAGCCGGCTCTGCTCATGACATGCCTACCATGTGCATGTCTAGTCTATCCTTGAACACCCTACAATACAAACACCCTACAATTGCAATATGTCTAAAGCCCTGGTGTTCTCTAAAACTAGAAAACAATTTAAATGGACTTTAAATGACAGTATCATTAAGCAAATTTTCCACATAAAATAGGTAGTCAAATGCAGAGCACTGGACTCTGGTAAGAACAAGGTAGACAAGTCACTGCATCAGCAAGCTTCAGCCAGTAGCATGTTTTAAGATTCTTTTTTACTCAAGGTGGACATCATATCCCCTCTGCAATACCAATTTATACAGCAAAGACCTTGGCCCAATCCCTATTGGGATTTTGGGATTTCATTCCCAAATGAAAAAAGTCCAGACTGTTTTTCTGAGGAAGTAGTTGGGCCTCCTGCCTGTGTGTGAAATGCAGCCATTTGTCTGGAAGCAGGGACCAGTTGAGTGCAAGGCATGGATTGCAGCCTTTAAATGGTGGCCGTTTTTACATTTTCTATCAGCTCCCAGTAGCTATCTGTCTCTGCTGCTTCCTGATATGTGTGTTAACTGATGGATGAGAGAAAAGGACTAGGAGTCACACAGGCTGGGTTCCTCTGCAGAGGTTCTGGGCAGCTGGAGAAGTCCTGCTTTCTTGTTGTTGATTAACAGAACTGGATCCTCAACATTTGAGAACTGCTGCTACTACAACTTCTTCCTCACTATTTCGTCTTAATTGCAATAATTGCTATAATAATGGATTTACTCCAGCCCCATATCTGTACACATTAACTATCCCAAACTACAGAGGAGTATTTATTCTTGTCCATTTTAATGTGCTCCCATCAGCACTATTAAAAGGACGATTTAATAAGAATCAATGAACAGGCATGTTCAGGTGGTGCTGGAGCAGTAGAAATAGTGGAACACTCTCTCTTATATTGCAACTTTTATAAGTAATACTGAGAGGAATTGATTAAACCATTAATAAAATATCTTTATGGGAATAATTCTTCCACTCCAGTACCTATGTGTTTAAGGGATGTATCATGTTACTGGAAATGTTGGTAAGTTTTTTATGACTGCAATGCAGTATAGGAAAAATGCAGTCACCTGTTTAAGTGAAAATATTGTATAAATTGTACTTGTTTTAACTGTTAATTTTTCTACTGCTATTTTATCTTTGCTTTTTAATCTTCCTGGCCTGTCATGGTATTTTAAAAAAACAAAAAGACCATAGGTATGCCAAACACAAGAACTATTTGGGACCATTCTGCTTTGAACAGGAAATCCATGGATAACCACACCAGTGTCATATCACAAACAGTTTTAGTAATGCACTTCTATTTCAGAAATGACTTGATACATGGTTTAGAGCCTGATATTTGAGGAATACAGTTCTGAAGTTACCCAGGCAGAATCCCAGGGACAGGCTCCCTTTAGGCATTGTTGCTAGAATCCTAGATGCTCAGTTTCCACAAATAAAGCATCTCACCTTTGGTCCAATTAAACCTGGCAATCCTCTGTCTCCCCGTTGTCCAGAACATTTGCATGGCACACCACAGCATGCCTTTTCTGCGATGTTATCCTGTAAAAAAAGAAATAAAAAGTAGAAACATAGGAACACAGAAAAAGAATGAGCCATAAGGGACCTCCTGGGCTATCTAGTCTGACCCCCAGCTCCAGCCAGCTCCACTCATGACATGCCTACTATGTGCATGTCCAGCCTATGCTTGAACATCCTCACCAATGGAGCTTCAACCACCTCCTGTGGAAGCTCATTCCATACCCTCGGAGTCCTAATGGTCAGGACGTGCTTCCTGACATCTACCATAAATGTTTGTTCCCTGAGCTTTGCTCCATTGGAATGCGTCTTGACCTTCACTGCCAGGGAAAAAAGGCCATGACCCACTTCTCTGTGGCACCCCATCACGTACCTGTATAGCACTGACAGGTCCCCTCTGAGTCTCCTCCTCTCAAGGCTGAAAAGACCCAGCTGCCCCAGTCTCTCCTAGTATGGCTTACCCTGCAAACCAGCTACCATCCTAGAGGCCCTTCGCTGCACTAATTCCAACCTTGCTATAACCCTTTTGTAATGAGGGGCCTAGAACTGAACATTATACTTCAGTTGCTGATGCACCAGAGTCATAGAGAGTGACAGTAATACCTCTCTCAATCTAGAAGCCACACTTCTGGCTATGCAACCAAGGGTGGTGTTTGCCCTCTTGACCACCGCATCACACTGCTGACTCATGTTTAGCCTGCAGTCGACCAGCACCCCAAGATCCTTTTCACAAGTGCTTCTCTCCTGCCACTTGTCCCCTAACCTGTACTTATGACACCCATTCCTATGCCCCAAGTGCAAGACCTTACACTTATCCACATTGAATGCCATCCTGTTGTCCCCTGCCCACTTCCATAGTCTGTCCAAATCCTTCTGGATCTGGAGTATCTGCTCCTCAGCTGTAGCCACCAACCCTATTTTAATATCATCTGCAAATTTATGTTGGTAAACTAGAAAGCAGATAAACCTCTTTAAAAATCACAAGCTATTTTGCATAAGTAGTACAGTGTTCCTCCAAGCCAAGTTCTGTGACTTTTTAAAAAGTAGGTTGGGGCTGTTTAAACACCAACCCTGTTTCTCAAAATAAAAATATAACAAAGAAAATGAAGGCAGGCACTGAATGCTTGCATGGTTTAAAATTCATTTGACCATTTCAGAGGAGAATGCTATTTGAAAAGGTTCTATTGCCTAAATTTGAAATAACCTTAAAAGATATTTAAAAAGCTAAATTAAGATAAGGGCATTAAGATATGAGCAAAGAATATTTCCATATTGACCTATGTCTTCATGTCCAGAAGTAATATAATAGCAAACCAACCCTTAATTCATAGTATGTGGGAAAGCCAGTGCTACAAATGAGTAAAAAAAAAAGAAATGAAAATAGGACACTTTGGATACTTCACATATAAATATGTTGCAGTTGTGCCAGTAACCCAGCAAAAGCTACAGCTGCAACGGCTACAATGCTGAGCTACACATCAGGATGTTCGACATTTACCTCTGCCATGAACTCATTAGAGAGCATTCATTAAGTCACCCCTTTCTGTCTCGGCCTCTCATTTAATGTCCCCGACCCCCAGCCCTGCCACACCACCTGCAATATGAAGATTGGCCAACCCTGCCGAATTACTGTAAGGCTCGTACAATAAAAATCACTTTGATCAATCTAAGTTTTATCATTTTCTTTAGCACTGATACAAATCAGCTTCAGGGACAACAACTGCAGGTCTCAGCTGTAATACGAGTAACTTACAGGACAGGTTTGGTTACCGAGAATTTTGGTTACTAGAATAACGATTTGGCATGCTAGAGTTTCTCATCCTGACGCCTTTCCTTCAAGAACAGCAGCAAGTACAGTTCTTGCAATGCCATGAAAGGCAGGGGTTCATGGGCCAGCGGGGAATATTTATGCTGCCCCAGTGGTGACCAGACATGATAACCAAAAATAGGTGGCAGAAGACAGTCTTGCAAGAAGGCAGCTAAAACTGTGCAAGCCACTGCTAACACACCCCGGGAGAGTACAGCTGAAGCGGATCAGACATATTACAGATATTAATCATTTACCAGTTGTTCTGCCAATTCAAAATCTAGATCCAGCAGATTTACTCGGAGAGGGCGATTATAACTAAAGCCACGCCCAAATTCCAGCTGCATCACTTCCTCAAAATTTGCCACTCGTTCCAATCCTACAAGGATGAGAGCACTGACGCCTAGAGAATTGGAAGAAAATGCCATTAGTCCTGAACACTGGTTCATTATTTTCAAAGTCTTTCTCTGTACAGTCCTGTAGGGATCCACCTTGCCCTCTGTCAATTTTGATTTTTTCTTAGTTGTTATTTTTTTCAGATCTAAACTTCATTCTCTCCTGTTTCCATATCAGTTTTTTCGTTTTTTAAAGTTTGCACAATAAAGGGTTACATTTCATGTGCATTCATCCAAATCTACACGTTTCGTACATGAATTTGCCTAATAGGCACAATTTTTGCAAGCATTTCTTCTCAATATACTGCATTCTCTGTAACTTTCATGCATCTATGCCCTTCTGTGGGTATTTTCCCCACAGTTACACATTTTTGTATAAATGTTTTGATTGGAAAAACATGCAGTGCAAAATTAGAAGGCACTCTCTTTGGATGAGAAAGATGATACAGCAAACCAGGTATTCCCTTGCCATCCACTATATAACAGGAGATTTTGCTAGCTACACTGGATTCCACATAGCACAAAGCAGGAAATCTAGAGTGCTCCCCACCCCCGCACCCTTTTAAAATTATCTGGCAAAAGGCACTTCATTATATAGCCCTTCGTGCACCATCGTGGTATTTAAAAATTATGAAAATATTCTTTTTTCTGTTACTTCACTTAATCTTCATGTGGTGAGCAATCTAGTCTAGGATGACCTTAACATGTAAATGCATGTATTTACAGTGTTGTTATTGTGGGGATAATATTGAGAGCAGCAGGAGAATGATGCAAGCTGCTTTAAGTTCTTTAAATAAGAAAAATATAGAAATCTTATAAATAAATACATAAAATTCCAGTTTTGTGTGCTAATAACACAAGTGTAAAAATATCAGATTATGGCACTGCATTTGTGAGTAGAGGACATGCACTGTGATCTCTCATGACTAACTGATCTGAAAGTAGCAAGGGTTGCAAGCATATACGTAACTTAAAATGCAAATTAGAACTAATCTATTTATCAGCATGAAAATACAGTATTGTAATAAAACACCTTCTCTCTTCAGATCAGCAGATGCAGCTGCTAACTGTCCTTTAGCACCATCAATGCCATCAGTTAAGTGTATCACCACCTGGGAAAGGAAATCTTTAAGTTATTGGACACCCGTTGTGAAACACAGTAACACACAAACATCATTGTAATGTAATACAAGTCAATTGTTGCCACAGGACTAAGGAATTGGCCTGGATCACAATGCAGATGGCCCAAAGGGCCCGTTCTGGTCCTACCCTCTGTTGGAGGGGCATCTTCTGCCACCCGTACTCTAGTTTTCTTTTCGGGGAAGAGAGTAGGAGGATGCAGAAACAGGGGCCAGCAAACAGGCTGGCAGGCTCTGCAGTCAACTGGACTAGATATGGCATTTATACAGTGACTTGTCAAACTGGACATCAGGGGAAATGATGGTCTCCCGTGGTGTGAAGAAGGTGAACAAGACCTGCATGGTACCTCTGTTTGTTTAGAGGAGAGTAGTGGTTTATAGGGGTGCTCAGGAAAAGGGTGCTGGGGAAACTTGTAGGTTCTGGAAGCACATGCTAAGTAAGATTCATTTGGCAGAGGAGGGAACCCAAAGGAAATTTAGTTACTCGGGAGGATTGGGCACAGGGTATAGATGCACACCATGAAAATTCATGAAAGCCACATCTGCAAACTGTTGGGCAGGGCCGGTCAGCTATTTCCATGAAAATTGTATGATTAATCCCAGGTGAGCAAAAAGAAGTTAAGCAGTGCCAGCTGCCTAAAGTGGAGCTCAAATGGCTTTTTCTAAGTCCAGCACTCTAGAACAGCTTTCACCAACTTCGTGTCCTTCGAAGTTTTATACCACAACTTCCTGCATTCCTGGCCATCGGCCATGCTGGCTGAGGCAGCTGGAAGCTGAAATTCAACTCATCTGGAGGGTGCCAGGTTCAGGAAGCCTTCGTCAGTTCTAGCGCAATACCTCCTCTGGGTTGCTTTAAAAATCTTCAAGATCAAGGATTTAGCTGGCAAACAAGATTTTACCTGGGATATATTTGCCAACTTATTAGTAAATACAACAAAGTAAAATTAATTCCTTCTCTAAAATGGCAGTCAATAAGTTTGTTTCTTTAGAATGACATTTGGATAAGGATCAAGACCATCCAGTATGGATTTTCTTTTTCTGTAGCAATTAAAGGATATTTTTCAAGCAAGCAAGAACTTAATGAAACACTCAGGAGACCCTTTGTCAATGCCCATTAAACAGTGTTTGATACTACACTTTTACAGTAAGTCCACCTTCCGGGTTATTTGCTAGTTTTAAACTGATTTTTCTTTTACTTGTCCATTTGATAGCCACCCAGAAACTGGAATTTTTCCTTTCCAGGAATGAGAATAGAGTGCAAACTTACCTTCACGCTTCCACCAGGAGCTGTTCTGAACTTATTCTGATAGGATCTGAGTGTCTCTGCAGTTAGGACATATGGACCACCGTTACGCATGGCTTGGAACTTCTCGAACAGCTCTGGCTGGTACTCAGAAAAGTCAAACGCTTCCACAGCCCCAGAGGGGGTTTGTGCCATGATGGCCACGCGCACAACTGGAGGCTGGTTGCGAGTGCAGCTAATTCTCTGCAGTTGAGTGATCCTGTTCAGAATGTCTTCAACCTGTGATTCAAGTGCTCTCTGCAGATTGAATATGTTTTGTCCTGGTCCAACATCTGAGACATCAAATCCCAGTATAATATCCAAACTGCAATCTGGAGTGGATGAAAGTACAAGTGCATTATACACAGAGTAGGGAGAAACTGAATGGTTGCTATACAAATGTGTAAGAAATTACCAACCCAAAAATAGTGTATATAAAATTAAGTATCAACAATTGTCTTAGACTTGGTACATACTCCGGTTGTTCATGGATAGGACCAGCTTCAAACTAGCAAATTATAGAATGTAGATCTTTCCATGGAAGTTGTCCTGTAGAAAAGTTTTTGACCCCTTTGGACCCTCTCTTTTGCCCAAAACTGTGCATGGGATTAAAGGGGGAAAATATTCTTCACGGGCATCAGTTCAGATATTTTCCTTCATAAGCACATGTCATGTGCATGTGTGGAAATTTAAAGAAAAAAGGTGGTTGGGTAGAAAGGCGTAATTGCACCAACACAAAATTGGTGGTCCTGATATGGATTGGGATCCCCTACACTTATGCAAAAGTAAAATAAAAAGCCATGAGCACCGACACACCACAAGTCATGCAGGCTGTTGCTTAAGCCTAAGCTGTCCAGGGACTGAGTAAGCCAAGTTCTCCTCCTCCTCCACCCCCATTAACGTTTTTTCTTTTTCCCTCAACTGCCAATCTGAAAATTCTGCATAGCCTGGAATGTCAGAAGTCCTTCTCAGACCATTTTTGGTTTTTACTTTTAAGAGCTTCCTAATTTAACATTTGAAGTTGTACACTTCTGCATTCCTAAGTAGCCCAGAAAGGATTTACAAACACACAGCCTTGTTTTAGATGGCTCTAATTCACTTCCATACTGAAAGCAGCTGAGTGCTGGAGCTCACGACTCGAGGAAGCATGAGGGACCATGTTTTGCTGCATTCCTTATCTTCCAGCAGCCCGCTTTGCTCCAGTATTTTCCAGAATACTGTGAGCTGGAAGGCACTCTGAACTTGCGAAAGTAGAAAAGGTAAGTATGTTTAGTCTAAATTATGGGAAAGCAGCAGATACTACCTCTTGAGACTTCTCCCACACCTCGGCACAACTGCTCTTTCATGACATCATTCAACGTAACCAGCACGGCTTCATTCAGCTCTGAGAGTTCCTGGGCTGTTGCAGCTCTAAAGGCTGTGGTGCTGTCACTGGAGAGTTTGGAAACCTCACCGAGGTCAATGTTTTTCACGCCAACTGCGAATACCTTGACACCCTTCTGAGCCAGTGACAAGACTGCCGTCTGCCCATCATCCTCAGGCTTGCCCCCTGTTATAATAAAAGCGATCTGTGGGACTCTCTGGTCTGCCCTGCTGCCAGCCTCCTTCACAAAGTGTTTTGCTTGGATGTGCTTGATGGCTGATCCAGTTTTAGCAGCTCTGCCTCCTTTGTACACCGTTTTATTCACTGCCTCTAGGATCTGTTCCTTGTTGGAGAAATCCTTCAGAAAGAATTCATCACTCACTTCTGAGCTGTATTGCACTAAGCCAACTTTAATGGAATCCCCTTCTTCATAAATAGCATCAACTATGTCATACACAAAGTCAACGACTTTTTGGAAATTGTCTCTTCCAAAGTTGATGGAACCATCCAGCAAAAAGACGATGTCTGCTTGTTTTTTACCATCTAAAAGATTTAAAATGGAGCAGATGTTAAACCATTGGAAGAAGACAAACAGAACCACAGAATCTATAAAACAAGGGGTGGCCAATTCCCTCCCTTGGAACCCAGCGGAGGCTGCCCCTTCCCATAATTGGTACTGCTGAATATGCTACCAAAATTTTCTTTTCATGCAATTTTTCAGTGGCATACTTGCAGCAGGTCTAATTGTCTTAGCGTTGTCAAGAAGCGGGTCTTGGGCACTCAGATTTTGGAGTTGCTCAGAGTGACACTGGTGCAAGCTTTCTCCACCATCATTCTTAATGCCAGGCTGAGTACAACTCTGTCATCATACCCCTTATCATCAAACATGAAACCCTCTCTTTTGGCACCAGAAAACGCCAGATATATTGTTAGCACAGCACCGTATGAATTGATCTTGGAGCCTCCCAGTCTTTGAAGGGCCTTCTCCTTAGCAAGATGGCACATACTCCCCTCTGCAGTCTTGGAGGGGAAATACTGTATGACGCCAATGGCAGAGAGGGTTTGCCCTTGTGGCACCGGAGAGGCTGAAACAGTTGGACGTGTTATTTTTTTACTGCCAGTTTTATCAAGAAATACAGGCCAAGTTTATTTCTCATCTGTTTAGAAGGTGGCCAGACAGATCTGATGCTGGGGTCGCCCAGAAGCTCCTTACAGGCATCAATGCCTAGCTAACAGTTTATTGTGCTAAGTTTTTTGCAGCTGCCTCCAAGATCCACAAAGATACTGTATGCAATGTTTTAATTTTTTAATTAGAAATCGTAACTGGTCATTTTAAACAAGTTGATATCATTTGTTTATTGATATTTTGTCCTTTAATACTTGCAGTATTTTAAACTATTGTGTTATTTGTAAATTGTTTATTAAGGACAAGCTTGTCACTTGCCCATAACAAACTGTTGCTGCTGCTACCAAAATCCAGCAGTGCGGCAGGGAAGGAAGGAGAGGACCCAATTTCTCCATTCAAAGAAGGCATGCAGGGATGAATCAGTATTTTTGTTGTTGTAAGAAAAAATGGAACCAGCAATGAGGAAACAAGGAAGAATTTCAAATGGAAGACAGTGTCTAAAAGCTATTGGAACAGGGGCTGGCTGGCTCCTCAGCAAGTCTCACTGCAGTATAATCTGCAGAATCTGTGGGTTTGCTTTTCAGTGAATGAGGAGCTAAATGTCTGAGCCCATTCCTTCCATTCATGTTGATAATGAACAAAAATGGGAATAAAAATGCATTTTTAATTCTTCGTCTCACTGCTGAGACACCAGTCAGAATTCAGCCCCATGAAAAAAGAAGCGAAAGCAGCACTGTGCAATGCCTTCTGGATAATAAAGAAAGCAGAACCAATTGAATCCTTTTCAGGGACTGGAGTCCATGTTTGGTTTGGGGAAGCAAGTGTTCCTCTATGCTTGGAAAAGCAGGTCTAACAATGGCCTCAACGATGTATTGGGGGTAGTCAGGAAGATGAAGGACGGGAGGAGCTTTGGGATGGTGGGAGAAGACAAACTCTCTTCCTGTGTGCCCACCCATAACATTTAAATAGTTTCTAACTTGCACAATATATTTACTAGATGAATCAACCTATTATTCCCATTTATTTTTGTATAGTTAGTTTTATATTATGAAAGGTTGCTCTTTTAGAAATTATTAAATACATTATAATTAAATATGTCAGAGCAACTGTTTAGCCGCACTCGAGAGTTTGTGTATTTCTTCCCCTGAAATTTTAATATTATGAAAGATTAAATAGTATATAACCAATATCTTCAGATTAGTGGATTTCTGGCAAGCAGACCCATCTTATAAAGTGTGCATAGGATTGTAACCTGAAAGCTATCTTGATCCATACTTGATCTAAAAAAGTGTGCACTTTTGAAAGAGCCACATATGTAGCCTGAGTTTTTCTTTTTCCTGCAGCAAGTCCGACTTCTGAAGAAGCAAGTCCACTTCTGTATTCAGTATGAAAAGGGACTTGTCCCTTTGGCTATGGGGACTGCTGCAGTGAAAAGTAACGCACTGCCTGTGTGCAGTTTTCTATCTCGAGCATGTCTCTTCTTTAAATCGCATCAATATAAATTCTAACTTCCTCTAGAAATTACTGCATCCCAAAGGGGTTACTTTAAATGAAAGACTGACCAGTAGGGATCTCAGGAGGTATTACTGTTGGTTCTTGAGGTGCCTCAAATGATGCAAAGAATCGTTTCTCTATTGCTGGGAGCTGGGTAAACTCTTTCACAACAAACACAGTTCTAGGATCATTGGTAATCCTCTGCAGTTCCGCGCTGTCTGCATTCCTCGCTCCTACACCCAGACCCTTGATCCCAGAGGACTGTATCACAATGGACGGTCTGCTGACATCATCCTGGGATCTCCCCCCAAGCAAGAGAACTAAGTGCTGTGGGACTCCGTCTTCTCGCCTGCTTCCTGCAGATTTCACAAAGTGGTGCCTCACAACAAAGTCCAGAGCCTTCCCAACATTCAGAGGAGAACCTCCTCTGTACCGCAAACGGCGCAGGGCTTGTATCACAGCGTCTTTGGTTGAGTAGGTTTTTAAGAAGAACTCAGAAAATACATCATTGCTGAACTGGACAACACCAATTCTCACTTTGTTTGGTCCAATGTCTAACTGCTGGACAATTCTGATGATGAAATCACGAATGTGAGGGAGGTCATTTGGCACAACATTGGCAGAGCTGTCAATAAGGAAGACAATGTCTTTTGCTTCACTATCAATATCTGCAGAGGGAGAAAAACGGGACAAAGCAATGTCACTGATTTCCTTCTCCCACCAGGGTGTACACTTTGCATGTAAAGAAAAGCCAGGCTCAGTCCATGGCATTTCCACTCAAAAGAATTTGGACTAGCAGCAGAAACTGCAGAGTCACTGCTTGTTGGAGTAAGAGGCCATACTGAGGTAGGACTACCAGTGATCTGACCTGGTATAGATGCAGCTTTACAAATTGCAGAGTTGTACGTGGTTGATTTCTATGCGCAGGGATATTGGGTGTATGAAGGGTGGACAGGCGCAGTGTCTGAGAGTCAAAATTTGTAACAGTGAAATGCAACTTTGCATTGTACCTACAGAGGTACTTTTTCAAAAATATGCAAATTGCAGCAGCTGGGAAAGGGATGAGACAAGATATGCAGCAGCAGGAGGAGGATCATATATGTAGCTTGGCTCTGAGACACGCTTAGAATGTTCCACCTCATCTGGTGCTGGTACAAACTATACTTATGAAATATGTGGCTCCATATGAAATATGTGGCTCCACTGGAAAAAACAATCATCCTTTATCTTCTGTAACTGGAACCATGGCAGGATACTAAATGGGCCTAGGAATGTGCTCCTTATTTTGGGTTGTCATATTGTACAAGGTTCTGAACCTAAAAAATTACTGTTCTTATTCAGTCTTTCCATTTCTGAACTAACTTAATGCTAAAATAACCATAACTTTCTAAAATATCCTTGACCTTGGAAATATTTTTTTAAAGCAAGCCATGTTCAACATAAGCAGCATTGCAAAGTCCATTAAAATAACAGTTTGAGGGAAATTAGGGGAAAAAACATATGTTGATTGTGAGGAAATAATTAATTTTATTTGAACTTTTGCCTGGAAATGAACCATCTCCCATTAGCAAAGAGGTTAGCTACGGCCTGTCCCTTGTGTAGCATCAGAATCTTGTGGAGGTATTGCCTCCGTTCAGCAGTGCCACAGGTGGGAACAGCTGGGGCTATGCCCTGCTTTAGGCATCATTCTGTGGACTTTTTAGCAGTCATGAGGCTGCTGGAACTCTGCACCATCCGTGGCGATAAGGGGCCAGGTAAGACATTTCCCTGGGAGAGGCTAGAACCAGATGGCTGGGGGCAAGGCAGAGATGAGGAAGTGGCTCATATAAACAATGGCACTCTCTTACCTGGAATTACTGATACATCACCAATGAGTGTATTTATCTGCTGTGCGGTTAGTGTTGTGATAGGGGTTATCAGTTTCTGCTCCAGATTAGGCAGGTGGCGAAAAGCTGACACCTGAAATACATATTCGGGGCTAAGAGCTATTTTGACCATTTCTTCACGATCCACATTCTTTCCAATAGGAAGTGATGCCACACCAACTCGCTTGACTTCAACTGCAGAATCCTCTACAATATCGTCAGGATCACGGGAAAGAAAGAGGATTAAAAACTGAGGGGCACCCTCTTCTAAGCGGCTTCCTGAAGGCCTGGTAAATATATTTCTTGACACATATTCTATAGCGGACCCTGCATTCACTTTGTTCCCTCCTTTGGGTCTCAGCCTTCTTAGTGCAGCTTGTACCTCATCCTTGGTAGAGTGTGCGTTCAAAAGAAATTCAACCTTGGGATCTTCACTGAATTGAATCACAGCTACACGAGTGTTATCAGAACCCACATTCAGATTGTTTACGAGTCTTTCAATAAATTCAATAATAGAATTAAATTCACCAGCTGCAGACTTCGAGCCATCAATAAGGAATACAACATCTCTTTTTATATCCCCTGTAGAACAAAGAAAGAATTTAGATTATACCAATACAAGTAAATTACACTAGCAAATACATTAAAAGCACCCCTGCCTCTTGTGAACAGACTGATGTTCATTCTAGGCTACTGCAACATAGCACTGAATGCAAGTAGAAGCAAGAGACAGCTTACCTGTACTTGCACTCCTGTGAGAGGTCATCCCTGTGCTTATATGTACAGGTTATGTGCACAAGCAGAACAACATTCAGAACATGCCAGACCTGGACGGACAGAACTTTGGTGTAGACCCTGCACCCCCTGCCATCCTGCACGCTAAAGGCATGGATCCCACTAGTCTGCAGCATGGGAAGGGATTAATCCTATGGGATGTCAAAAACTGGGGAGGAGGATAGGTTGTGTGACTATACAAATGGCCATATGATAGCAGATGTTGGAGGAATTTGTAATAGGCTGAAATATTTTCATTTTATTTATCTATTTTTAGCTGGGTTTTTCCCCTATCAAGGAACTCAAGGCAGCTTACACAATTCTCCTCCTCCTCTCAATTTTGTCATCGCAACAACAGCCCTGTGAGGAAAGTTACACTGGATTTCTATGGATTTGGCCCATAGATTCCTTAGTGAATTGGCTTTTTCTGAGTTGTAACAATTCTTTGGGCTAGAAGGCTCTTTTAAAGTTAAGTTAATTTTACATTCCAGAACTGTATGAAAGTCTGGTCATACAAAACCATGGAAAGTTTGAAAAAATAAACAAAAATAGCTTTGCATTTTACTCCATAGGCTAAGGTGCAAACATATGGATGAGGAAAATTTACATATTTGCACGAATGCAAACTTTTGGAAGCTCAAACATGGAGAAGTGAGATTGTTTACAAAAGGTGGCATTTGTACTGAAGGGCAAGATTATTCAAGTGACCCTGAAGCCTATGAGGAAGGCTGCATGTAGCTCCCAGTAAGCTCAAGGAATGCCTAGTAAAAGAAAAGGTCCAGGAAGATGCTTAGAAGAGGACTGAAAAAGGCTGGGTACCAAGGCTGATTTTCCAGACTGGATTTCATTTTCCAGTCATTGATCAAGATATCCTCCATCTTGGAATTAAGAAGGCCCACATTGTCAAAAGACAAGTCTTTGATCCTGGGATGAACGTCCTGAGTTAGGTCAGAAGAGCACAGGCAGCATAAAGCCACTCCTCCCACCACTGCTTCTGATGCACAGTCTGCCTCGTCATATGTAGTGTTGACTTGCTGATCAGCCAGATAGTGGATCTCAGCCTTAAAATAATTTCTAGGCACTCTTTGTCCTCAGCCAAATGATCAAAGGAAGATGCAGACCCAGATGCCCACAAAACCAGAGAAACCATCATGGAGATTTTGTACCCACGGCATCAAGATTTCTCCTCTCCCAGGCCACATGTATGGTGGAAGTTTTTCCTGGGATTATTGGAGGAGGCCTCCATTATATAACCCAAAACCCATATGTACATTTCCCTTTATATCCCCTATAAACCAAAAAAAAAAGAATCTGGACTGTGCTAATAAAAGTAAATTATATTAGTGAATATGTGAAAAGCACCCCTTCCTCTTGTGGACAGACTGATATTCATTCTAGGCAACACAGCACCGAATGCTAGTAGATAACAGGCCCTGATGAACTGACCATCAGATGCACCTACTCAGCATAAGCATGCACAGTGTCAGCGAGAGACAGCTGTGGCATCAGCTAAAAATGTTGATGGAGACATGGACACCACTTTGAGTGATAGTAACCTGGGCCAGGTACTGGGTCAGTTGTACCAGGAACAGAAGAGCATTGGAGGCACACTCAGGATATACCATGACGTCTTGTTGAGCTGGTGCCTGCTTAGCGATCCCAACAATATAAAGAGCCAATGGGGGTTAACAGCAAGATGGACAATGGAACGAAGGCTGCTACCTGATGGACGGATACCATATGACTCCTTGGTACCAAAAATCAGTCCTTGGGGTCGCGCTGGGTCGGACACAACTTCGCAATGAACAACATATTGTTAATTGTTGTATTATATGAAGTAAAATGGAGCTATAAACTGGTCTCCTGCGGAGCAGGCACACAATTTTCTTTGTGTTGGGTTTTTTTTTAGTTATCAGTTGGGTTATAGATGTTAATATTATTGATATATTTTTATATGTATTGTATCAACTGTTTGTATTTATGTTCTGGTCTGTTAAAAAGAAAATAAAAGGGGGGGGGGTGACAACACTTTCCAATAGGGTACAGAAGTAAAAAGGTACAGTGGCATGGTCTTTTCCACCTGCATACCAGAGCAAAAGGAAGATGCTGGAAGGAGGGGAGGAGGATGGGGTGGGCCGGTGTGAATTGCCCTTTGTTTGCACTGCAGTTATCTGTAACGAGTCATCTGGCCCTCTCTGGAACGGTGCCTGGTTAAGTTCAGCGGCATTTCAAGGATGCTCACATGCTGACTTCTAAAAGAGGGTTTTTCTCTGGCCTAGCAATCTGTCAATGCCTGCATGATTTTCCCAATGAAAGTTAAACCTATTGATCTGTACATCAGTTTCCAGCAAGGCCACATGCATCAGTACCAAAACTAGGGCTGGAATTGACTGTTCAGTATCAAGTGGTTTAAAAATTTTGCAAGTAGGGCTTAAAACAAGTGTAGCAGCTGTTACTTCCACTTTTTGTCTTTCTCTTTTTTTTCTTTCTCTTTTTCTTTGTGTGATCTTCAGATGGAACAGGAAGGTGCTGTTTGGACTATACCTTGCTTGGCTTATCCAAATCAAATATCACCTTGGAGCTGGAGGTATCTCAGTACACATCAAGTCACAAAGCGTTTCAGTATCAAGTTTGATACCGATGCAAAAGCTTTGGATTCAAGGGGGGGAAATGCTTGTCAAGCTGAGTGTAAATTTGAAGCAACAAAGGACCAGATGATGCTGACTGCACAGATCAATAAAGAGATGGCATGCAGAAACCACTTCTGCACTGCAGAGTTATCCGATTACAAGGCCTGTTCCCAAAAGAGAAGACACAGTGATCTGTAAGCATAGACAAGACAAGCCCCTTCTGTATGGGTCTGACGACAACTTGGGCAAGAACCAAGAGCAAATGGAAATAGTTATCAATGAGGAAATCTTTCCTCCACAACTACAGCTTTTTAAATAGTATACTGGAGGCCAAAAGGGAATGAAAACTCTATGGGAGAAAACATATAAAGACAAAATGGAGAGAATGACGCAACAGAGACAAAACAGAGGGGAGAAAAAAGAGCTGATAAAAGGAACCGAGTATTGAGCAGTTCTTAGGAAATCTCGAGAGCTGGCGATTGTTCCCACTGCTGAGCTGCAGAAGTGGCCACTGAAGGGGAACTGAGTGGAACAAGTTGGAGCATGTGTGATAGCCATGGCAGGAGGGGATGGCTGCCGCCAAAACTCTGCCAAGCTCCACAGTGTAGCAAGTGCTGCTCTGAGGAGGTGCAGAACCCATGAACTTGCACCACAGAGTTCACAAAGACCTTACTCAAAGAGAGTGTGGCAAGTCAATTAGAAGCTGTTTTATCCCACAGGTGTAGGTCACAGTTCATGACACTGAAGCTTACGATGCCTGAGGCACTGTGGAGAAACATGCTGTCTTCAGCGATAACTTAATAAACAACAAGGGGCTTTCTTTTTCTGTTGGGAATGGGGCACAAGAAAAAGAAAAACCTCAGGAATCTCAGAACAATCTCAGATCAGCATATAGTCTTGTGAGAGATTTTGGCTCAGTTCTACCTTTATGGAGCTATGAAAACTCCACTCTGGATACAGACGATAGTATCCAGAGACTTGAAAATGTTAGAGATTATTATTATTATTATTATTATTATTATTATTATTATTATTATTATTATATAAATATAATATAAATATATAATATAAAATAATATATTATATATAATATATTATTATATTATTATATTATATTATATTATATTATTATATAGAAATAATATATATTATTTCTATGCCGCCCCTTGAGATCTGTTATCCTCAGCTGTTTTTCATACTGCAACTGAAAACTGCTTTTGAAAGCTTTTTTTAGTGCTCCTCCAATAGTCTTGTGCCCATTTTTGGTCTAACTGTTGCCCAGTGGAATGTCTTTCTGTGGCTGGCTTATGGCCATAATCTGATTGTGTGCCCATTGTCAGAATCATTAAATAACACAAAATACATTTTCCTTCACCTGAATCAGGGGATGATGGCCTCAAAGCGTCTATTTCTGCCCTGGTCAGCCGAGTCACTCTGTCGGCAATGAGTTCCTGTACGGTATTCAATTCGCTGACACCAGAAACAAGGAGTGCAAATTCAGGAACATACGAAATTGCCCGGAGTTCAGTGATATCTGCATTGCCGATGCCGATGCCAAACGGCACAGCTCCCTTTGTCTTCAGATCCATGGCAGGCCTTCGGATATCATCTGTTGACTTCTCAGCGGTCACCAGTATCAAGAACTGTGGGACACCTTCAGATACTCTGCTTCCAGCCTGTTGTGTGAACACATGGCTAATAAGGTAGTTGATGGCAGCTCCTGTGTTAACTGGAGAACCTCCCATAGCAGACACTCTCTGGATAGCCTGGATTATATCTGCCTTGTCCAAGTACTCATTCAGAAGGAACTCCGGTTTTATAGTATTGCTGTGTTGGGCCAGAGCAACCCGGACTTTGTCAGGGCCAATATCCAGATTATCAATCATCCTCAGTATAAAGGACTTCAGTTCTGGGAAACTACGCCTGATACCATCTGAACCATCTATCAAAAATACAACGTCTTTCTTCTGAGCTTCATCAACTGTTTGAGAAAATTGGGAGTTAGGAGAAAAAAAATATGTAAAATTGAAAGCCACGTCAGTAAAACTTTAGGATGTTCTCATGTACATTTAAGCAGATAGATGTTGCATTAAAAGAAAGCTGAGAGGAAAAAGGAAGGCACCAGTACAAGCAATGAAGAGAAGGGAAAAAAACCCTAAAATGCATACAAGAATCATTAAGAGGTCAAGTCATTTCTAATGTCACAGACTCCAAGAAAAGAGTCTCTTGACTTGACATGCATTGGGGCCTCAATAAAGTTCTCATTGCCTCCAATAGTAAATAATTTAGATAAATTTCTTCTACACTCCAACCTGTTGCCATCCAGATGTTCTCAAGAGAAATTCTCATCAGCCCCAGCCACCATGGGAAATGGTAAAGCATGATGGGGATTGTAGTTCAACACATTTAGAGGGTACCAGGTTAGCGAACTCCTCTAGAGTTATTATTCACAACATTGTATTGTAAGAAAGTATGAAGATGTACAGCATTCTGTATAAAGGATGTAGAAACTGCATTTGATAATGGCATAAGAGGGAGTTATTTCTACTTTTTTCCAGGTAACTTTGAATCAGTAACTCAGTGATGCTCAAGATTGCCAACTTCCTCTGAATGCCAGCTCAATGCTCATCTCTCCTTGATTACAGCATTCATTTTCAATCACTGTTCCTTTTGCATAAGCAGGAAAATTGAAGAAAATGAATAGCTACGGAATGTGAAAATTCTATAAACAAGTTCCAGATCTGTGCCACTTTCCCCAATGCACTAAACTGTGACTGATTTAAACTGTGTGCATTTTGAGAAAGTTGCACATTTTTCAAGTATGTGTTTGCAGATGCAAATTCAGAGATTTGTAAACCTTTTTGAAAAAATGGACTCCAATTCACTTGTGTGATTAAGATTGCCAATGGGGCAATTTTGAATAATATGTGAATAGAAAGAAAATTGTGACAGATCCCTAACATTGAGGAAATTCTGAAAAACATGGCAAAAGCTAATGCAATGCCCATCGTTCTCATATTCTTTCTGCTCTATTTTGTGGGCATATGTTGCCTTTTCTCTCACATATTGGTTGTAATGGCTAAAATTTTGAAAAGGTTCTTCCGCTTCAATGGTTCAATGAATTGGCCCAGCAGATATTGCAGGGTGGGGGGAGGGGAGAAAGACCATGCATCTCGAAATATGCTCCCGAACATGCTCGTGTGTAGGCAGTAAAATTGTGACCTGTAAAGTCTCTTCTCTGACTAGCCTAATCTGTCCATGGATAGAATAAATTTGCTAGGGAAGGCTAGTTAATACTGAACTCATTCAGGGCCAAGCCTAATTAGGCAGGATGTCCAATTTTATTTGCATCACTGGTGCAGTTTATTATAGTTGTCCAAACAAGATGTTTTCACAGCGCAAGAGAAGAAGCAAAGAAGGTACCTGTGGAGATATATATACCTGGATGTTTAATCTGAATGGTTTTCAGTAGGCTGACTATTTCAGGTTGTATGTCTCCAAGTCTAGAGAGGGACTCAGCAGTTATAATGAACTGAGGGTCATAAACAATCTTTTCTAATTCTGAGGGATCTGCACTCCGGGTTTTGACAACAAAAGTAACAACCCCAGCTTGTTTCAAAGCATCCGCTGTGTCATCCACACTGTCACTTGATCTTCCAGCCGCAAGGAGCACTAAGAATTGGGGCACTCCTTCATCAATCCTGCTTCCTGCATTGCTCACAAAGATACTCCTCGTGGCATAATCTAATGCAGCACCAATGTTGAGTAGTTTCCCTGATTTTATCTTCATCTTTTTCAACTTTTGAAGCATTTCTTGTTTGGATGGAATGTCATGGAAATTGAACTCAAGTTGTACATTGTCACTAAACTGTGCCACAGCGACACGTACGGCATCGGGCCCCACATTCAAGTCAGATATAATTCGGACCAAAAAATCTCGAACTGCAGCAACCTGACCGGCAAGATTTGTTGACCCATCAATCAAGAATAAAATATCAATCTTGCTTTCTGGAATTTAAGTGATATGAAAGGATTTAATACACAGAAACACACCATGTTTAATTACATAAGTTGAGAAATTGGAACAATCTTAATTACATAACAGGAATAATTCTAGCTGTGAGCCTCTCTTTGGCATCTTTGATTAAAAGGAAAGTGATGTGTCTCTTACGATAATGACTGTATGGCACAAAACTGTGGAATCATGAGGTCACTCTGAATGATTATAGAGCTGCAGGGGCCTGAATCAAGGGGTAGTACATACAGACTGCCATATCACAGCCAGGGAGGCTGGGAGCTCCAATGTCAGTGAGGCTTGTGTAACCACTCTGGATTTTAGGCCAAACATTAAGGATCTGTCCATGATGTCAAAAATATTTTGGGGATACTGTTTAACATAAATCTGGAGTGGGTCCACAGCCCTGCTGACACTGGGGAGACCAGCCTCTTATTTAGATTTTATTCCTGGTGAGTCTTGCAAGCACTACTTCATTCATAACACAAGACCTGAAATACTGAAAATACAAACCATTCCTGCATCTTTGAATGTTTAAAATATCCTTTAGCCTTGCAAACAATATTCCTATATAGCATATGTTATATATGAAGACATAATATAAAACAGGATTGCATATGGTCCCCAAAAGTCCCAGCTGCAGCTCTTCATCACCTGCCACCGCTGCCAATCCCACACCCCGCCCCAGCTTCTACCGACTAACCTCAGTATGTAGGCTGTTTGGCCTCACTGATATAAAGGCTCTCATATTTTCAAGGTCTGACACTGCAGAAGAGCAGAGAAGGGAGCAGAGCGCGTTGCTTCTGGTGGAAGCAAGGCCCTGGGGCTCCAGTTGGCCTGACTGTGTTTGGCCTTTTTTTTTTTTTTTTTTTTAAGATGGTAGGATTAGATAGAGCTCAGCATGCCCACCTGGTAAGCACAAATGATCTTGCGCTCCACCGGTAAAGCTGGTCTGCTCAAGGGCAGAGAAGTCAGGAAATGAAACTGAATCTTCTGCGAGTAAAAGAGGGTTTGGAGAAAGAGCTGGCTCGGTGAGGCTGGAGCTGTTGTTGACTCACTGCTAACAACGTAAGAGAGTGGGAATATGGGGAGATGAATTTGAGAATGTGAAGGATTGGGGCGGTTGTGGTTTCAGGCCTTTAGCAGTGGCTTGATTGCCCCCTCCCACTATACTTCGGACAGCAGCATGTGATCATAGTTATGTGTGTGCCATGAAAATCTCAATTTGCTGTGTATGTTCGTGGGTGTATGCCTTTCCTGTCCTTGAGCCAGTATCCCTTTGGGACAGAAATGGCTGTATGCCCCTCCTACAAGAAGTCAGCTTCTGACTCTTTAAATCCCTGAAAAAAGGGCATAGCTTCCATCATCACAGTGTTGAAATGATGGGAAGAAAAATATCACTACATGAAGAAAGAATGCATCAAGTTTTTAAGGCTGTGCAAGGGACAAAAGCTACAATGGCATCCAGGTATTCCTATGCATACCTAAAGTACTTCTGAGAGTAAACTGATCTGGATCAGTAAAGAACACCTGCAGTTCCAAGGAATTAACTCATGCATACATATTCTTTACCTGATGTTGATCAAGAGATAACTCACATATTAGAACAGAATAACACAATATTTGTAATTTTCATAGAGCACTAAAATTAGTAGTTACTTCTTGAGAAGAACAGTATCATTGTATTCTTAGCATAAACCTTAAATTGATGTTACAGTCTAGTTCTCCTTGCAGTAGTAAAACTGAATCTGGCCTGTACAGATTGTTACTAGAAAACCATGAAGAAGACTAGCAGGAATCTTGTTTCCTTGACTTCTGGTTTTGTCCTGGCAACTTTTTACATGGATTCTGTGTATTCAATCATGTGGGCCTCCACTTGCAATTTGAAGTAATTTACCCTAGACCAGGGGTCTCAAACTCAACTTACCTGGGGGCCGCTGGAAGTAGAGTCTGGGTGAAGCTGGGCTGCATCAAGTACTCCACCACCGTGGTGGTGGTGGGCCGTCATCCCGCGGCCGGCCCGGGTGCCACCAGCGCTTTGAAGGCCGCAGGGCCCCTCCCCGTGCCCCACCTGTCCTGGCAATTGGCCCGCGGGCCGCGAGTTTGAGACCCCTGCCCTAGACAATGGATTATCTTGGCTGTGAGAGCCTCATACTAGATAAGGTAACATCCAGATTAGATCTGTTATTGGATCTTTTGACATTTTACATGTTTGGAAATAAAAAAGCTGCAAGAAAGGAAATCCAGTTTGATTCAATTGTTTTCTTAAAGAAGTCTCCCTGTCCACCCTACATAGAGCCCTTGGGTTATGGGGTGGCATTTAAATGTAGTAAATACATACTCAGACTGCTTAGCTGGATTCATAAACACAATGATCGGCAAGGGGAAAGATGTGTTTTCTTTATTAGAGCAAAGGGCAGGCACTGGGGATAGGCAACTGGGGACAGGCAATTTTCCACACAGCTATGGTCAGGAAGCAGGACAGAATCCAAAGTTCAGAATTGTGTGTGTGTTTGTGAAAAATACAAGGAGACAACTGGTATAATTTGGCACCTGTAATTTAAGAAATCTAGAACCAGAGATTTCAGTCCTCTAGTGAGGTAGGTTTATTGGATGCATTGCTAAACGGTTACTGCCAAGAAATGTAGAACTAAAATCTATCAACATCTAACGTAAATCTATTAGGTCTCATTTTGACTTCTAAGCCAACAGTGACTAATAGTTAAAAATGCAATTGTTCATTGTGTGAAGGATGTAAACTCTAATTTAGTCCTTAGCTTGAGAGAACTGCAAAAGAAGTTTGTAATATGATGGAGAGCCCACCGTTTATCCCTGCTGAAAGGAATCAGAACCCACTGAGTTACAGGATCCTTTAGGCATCCTAAATGACACACAGTTATGACTGACTGCACATTCATCAGGTTTTGTTGTAGGGCATGAATTACTCTTGCTACTGTACTGGAGCAGAAAATACTAGGCTTTTGCTAAAATGCTGCAAACATTATAGATTATGAAATGGCAACTTTAATTCAGTGCCTGAGAAGCAGCATAAAACTTTCAGGCTCAGTGTACAAGTTCAGAATATGATGCCAGTCAATTATATGCACATTTGATTTAGCACAGTATCTCAGGTGTGTTCTGAACTTGATACTTGATTAAGTGCAGAATTTAAGGAATCTTTGTTTTTCCTGGGAGGGTTGGTGGCCAAAGAAAGAGATGAGTTTTCTATGGAATAGGTATATACCCTAGCAAAGGGACAAATCATCATGGGCAGCACAAATGTTACACCTCACTGGATAGGGTTCTCTTAGGTAAATATTAACTGTTTGTTTTCAAGAGAAAATGAACTAGAAAATTAGCTCGAGGTTAAATAAATCCTGGAGTATGTATAGTATGTTTGCGTATACAGACTGCGCATCTATTTTGTCAGTTCTAGTCGCTCAAGAATTGTCCACAGGGTAAAATTAACAAATGTTTATAGGTTTTTACTAATATGCCCTCTTATTTATACTCCACATAGATAAAAAACCACATGTGTGAAGCTTAAAGTCTTCCTCATAATATTCATACATGGAAAAAAGATTAGGGATGCTAAATCCCTGATCACATGACAAAAAGTGGAATCCCCGTTATCAGTGTACGGCAGATGCATGAACCATTTAAGAATTTCATAATGTGTAAGGGGCTTTAAAACACTGCAACGATAAAATGCTGTGATGCCACTTAAAACATACTGCAAGATTAATGACAAATAATTCATAAAGCCATACAGCTTGAAGAAAGGAGCAAATTACCTGTTGATGGAATTACAACTTCTTCCACATCTCCTCTAATATACGTCGTTAGGGGCCTAATCATTTCCTGTGGTAAATCTGCCAGAGAACTGAATTCATCCTTAAAATATACTATTTGTGGATTAAACGCGATTTGCTGAAGTTCTGTTATATCAGCATTTCTAACACCAATGCAAAATGTCAGCACTCCTGCATGAGCTAAAGCATTGGCAGCCTGCTGGAAAGAATCGGCAGATGGCCCTGCTGCAAGGAAGACTAACACCTGAGGAACGTTCTCGTCTAGCCTGCTCCCACCGGCTTCAGTGAAGTGATTGGATAGAACGAAGTCTAGAGCAGCACCGGCATTCAGTACTGATCCCCCTTGGAGTCTCAACTGCCTCAGGCGATTAAGTACATCTGGCTTGGTTAGGAAAGTGTTTAAAAAGAATTCCGTTTTGGGGTTCTCACTAAATTGCACTAGGCCGACTCGTACTTCATCAATTCCAACATCAAGGGAGTTAACTAGGTTCACAAGAAAGTCACGGACAAATGGGAAGTTGGTATTTCCAACGTTGACTGATCCATCCAAAAGAAAGATGATATCCCTTTTGCTTAACAGAACTGCAGCAGAGCACAGAAAAGAACATAACACATCATAGAAAAACACACCAGTCTTTCTCATGTGTGCATACAAGCATTTGCTTTGCACACATGTATACCACATTTGAAAGAAGAGGGAACAAGACAGAACAGCTACGAAAAGAAGTAAAGAAGAGCCAAGAAAAATATAGAAAGTCCTCTCTGTGTGATCAGTCAAAACTTACCCAGCTGCATGTTACATTTTCTGCAATACTTCCCTGGATTCTTTTCCAAAGATTATATAGTATTTTGCCTGCCCAGAGATAACTGAAGTGGGAGAAATCTTATTCTAAAAGTTGTGCTTAGTAGTACTGGTGAACTTCAGTTTAAATGGAATGTGCAGATTCTTGGTTTTGGACCCATTTCAAGAATCCAGCTGAAATAACTGAATATCCAAACTGGGCTGACAAGACACCTCTGTCAGCTTCATTCGTGCTGACTGCTTCTGATGCAAATTTGGTGAGTTACATACACAGAGAATGCCATGGGCCTAGTGCTGCTGGCTCAAGGGCTCAAATCCAAGAGCGGCAGGCTCTGAGAGTTACTCATTCAACGTGTGTACACCAATGTCACCACAACGGTGCACACACCTTAAGGCTTCTACATGTATGTCCTTTCTGATATGCAGTGGCTCTATTTACTCCCCTCCCCTCCCACAAATGATTCTATGGGTCAGCAAGTAAAGTTCTAGAACATTATAGCATGTTTGGAGCCCTTTAAGCTTCAAATGCACCCAAACAGATTTGGTTGAAGGCCCATGAATCTAAGGCAGGCACTCTGCAATTAATCCAGTTTCATCAGGTTTGTCAATTTTGTGGTCTGAGGAGTTCCATAGCCTTAATACTGGCCTTCATGAAAACACCAGCAACAATTAAAATAGCTAAAACACTATAACTTGGGAGGGGAAATGCACACCTCCAAATGGATTGTTTATAATGTTCAACAAAGAAGAACTGAAAGGTTCTTCTCTTTGACTTCCTGTGATAGCTCCCTCATCTTGCCACCTTGTATGGCACTGCTCACGCTGTTGAGAAGTATCTCCCAACCCTTGGGATAAGTTCTTGCATTGCAGGAGTTGCCATTTTTTCATTCTGGTGGCAGAATGAAAAAAAAGATCCACTGTGCAAGATGCTTTCCACTCACAGAATGTTCGCTATAACCTGATAATAGAAAGAATGCTAATATTTAAGAGGAGAGAGAAAGAAAATAAGAATGTATATATCTTTTGAAGTACAGAACATGTAAGAACATTTTTAATTTATATTTTAAAATAAAAATGTCACAGATAACATAAAACATGCAAAACTGCATTAGTAAGAGACATACATTTTGAAAAAGCTTGGTAAGTGACAAATTTTGATTCTGTGATATTCATCTTAATTAAGGATAAGTAGAGAGAAACTAAAAGCTAGCAACGCAACAATATTGAGTACTGAATCAATCTTTTTTTTAAAAAAGGATTACCAGGCAATATTGTTATGGGATCCTAATTAGTTTTGCCAACTTCATCATTGGGGATACTGCTCAAATTTCCTTACAGGATTACATTGCACACATGACTTTGTTTTGCCTTCAGCATGCAGCAAAGGAGAGTAGGTGGTAGATAAAAAAGCACTGGCTGGAGAAAATGAAGGCTGCATCCAGACAACATGATAACCCTTATTCAAGGATTGAATGAGAGGGCAGCTATCATTAACCGTGAGCTTGTTTAAAGACAGGTTATCAGGTTTTCTGAACCCAGCTGCACTAACAAAGCATGTCTAGTAACCATGATCAACACACCGTCCACAGTTCAACAAGTTATCTTCATCAGTTGTCTGTGGTTAATAAACCATGCTCTGTTAGTGCAACTGGAATTAAACAAGGAAAAATCTCATTCCTGAATCCTGAAACAGTGTATAAAGTTATTGTTAACTAATGCCAGTAGCAGTACTAGAAGGGCATATTTCCACTGAATTTCAGTAGGAAGGTAAACCCCTGGAAAAAGAAATATGTGGGTGAATTACTGTTCTATCAGTGCACCTTGTGCATTAAAATAAACACTAGTTATTAATCACTAAATAAATCATAGCTACTGAGTGGGAACCTGATGGTGAAATATAGTTGATTTTAACACAAACATTCCAGTGATCAAATTTCAGATACAAAAAATGTTAACAATAAGTCAGTATCTGCCATTTTGTTTAAATGACACAACACTATGCACTCCTATTCAGAAATTACTGTCATTAAATTCAGTGGAACTTTGTTCCAGATAAGCATGGGACTGCAGTTTTACCCTATTCAAATGTTAAGTCTATTATGTGAACAGACTCTTCCAAACCTAGACTGGGACAGTAATCATTCTCATCATAATGTAAGTATTTTAGAAATATTGCCAGAGTCAATTTCAAATGATGAAGTGCAGAATGATAATATTCATGTTGGCTATCAGTTTGATTAGTGGCAAGAATAAAACAGCAATAGCAAAGGATTAGGCATTTTGTTTCATTTTTAATCCTGAAGATCAGACTAAAATGATTTCAGTACTTAACAGAAATGGCAATTACCTTCTGATGTTGTTTGCACAGAAGATCCAGACAGCGTCCGTATAGGAGTCACAATATCAGGGAGAATACCTTGCAGTGTGACAGTGCGGAACTCACTGGGAGTAAATACGAAGCTTGGTCCATAGGCAATTTGTTCCAGTTCAGCACGGTCTGCATTTCGGGACCCAACGGCAAGGATCACTATGCCGTTCCTTTTCACTTCTTGTGCTGGTTGGGCAACATCATCTCTGGACTTACCACCAGTAATAAGGACCAACATTGGTAGGACGCCTTCATCGATCCTGCATCCAGCACCACTGGTAAAGAACTCGTTTTTAACAAGCCTCAGAGCAGAACCTGTATTAAGCGGAGCGCCACCGACTGGCTTTATTCTCCTAACATTGGTAAGGACCTCTTTTTTCGTTTGGAAAGTATTGAAATAAAATTCCGGTTTCATAGTTTCTGCATATTGTGCCACTGCAACTTGGATCAGGTCCGGTCCAATTTCAAGTCTGTTGATGATTTTGGCAATGAAATCACGAATTGCATTAAAAGGGGCATTTCCCAAGGCTGTGCTGCCATCTATCAGGAAGACTATGTCCTTCTTATTGACTTCAACAACTGCAAGCAACAATACATATTCACATAATCAGTGGAATATACATTCAAAAGTGCTACTCTACTAAGTATCAGTGCATACTTTCCATGGGTTATGGGGAATGTTTCTACCATCACAAAAAGCATCTCTTTTTATTATTGGGCTATGTAGAGTTATACTGAGCTTTATCATGACTAAAATGTATTAAAGGCAACTTAATGAAGATCGCACAGTCAGCATTTAATAGTGTTGTATACATACCTCTGTAGTATTCACACTGATCATTCAAAGCTTTGCACTTTGTCATAAGAAAAAGACTCCTACATTAGACCAAAGATTCATCTAGATTAGCATCCTGTTTCCAATTTAGGCCAATCAGATATTTCTGGAAAGCTCACAAGAAGGGCAAGCCATCAGTTCTCTAGGGTCCATTGTCCTATCCTAAGCTATTCAAAGGCAAGAGTTTGTGAGGACTCCCTGGTGTGGCAAAAATCTAGTAGAATTTCATGATTCAGTCCTGTGGGTTCCAGGTCATGAGCCCTGAAGTCGGATCAACTTGCTATACTGTAAGCTGACCCAGCTCATAGATTTCTACCTTGAAGGCAGGCTACAGTGTGCACATTAAGAAGTGCACTAAGGAATTTTGTGTAAAATCAGGCAATTTGTACAAATCAGTTCACATGGTCCGAAAAGCACATAGTCCTCATGAGATTGACATAAATTGCATGATGGCCATGTGTTTTGGAGTACCAATTTGCACAAAATAAACAAAATACCATTAGTTTCACAAATTGCATGCATTTGTGCAAATTGAGTAAATTTATGCAAACTGCGGATTACCTTAAGACGTCTTTTATGTGCAACCTGCAGCCAACCTTAGAGATGGAAGTCTGCCAGGGAAAAAAGCCTGAATTGACCCCCTTCTGACTGGAAGTGGACAGGAAATCCACTAAGGTCAAATGAGCCAGAGTTCCCACGGTCAGCACATTTCCATCAGAGGTGCCTTCTCAAGGTCTACTTTCCACAAACCTGCCTCCTCTCTACACCACACATTCTACCTGTGTTTCCTTGGCAAACCACACAAGAAATCCAACGTATGTCCCACAACTACCCGGACACAAGGCTCCCCACTTCTCCCTTTCTTCAAACTGGTTAAGCACTTCCATTTATATACCCCCGGCTGTGACACATCGCTTCCTCTACTGATCTGGCATCTGCCACACAGGCTGTTGTGTGTGTGTGGCAGGGGGCAGTGTTCTCATGAGCATCACATTTGCTTAGCAGGCCCAGTTTACATGTGTGCATCCTAAGCATTTCTTCCTTCCTAATTTGCCTGAAAAGCTGACAGGGCAACTCGGTGATCATAAGTACTAATGACCATTCAACTCAGGGAGCAGTTGAACGTTTTTTAAATTATTTCATTGAACTTTCTGAACTTCTTTTTAAAAAATTAATCTGCTGCATAAAGATAATGTAGTAAAGGAGACTCGTGAGGTTTGTCAAATCTCAGAGCAAAACAATCTCAGCCATACGAATGCTACCAGGTGTGGTTTAGTACAACATGCTACCCACCAAACTACAAATTAACCATATCAAGAATAACCCGCAGTGTGGTGTACTAAGCAGGACTTGGGACATATACTACATAGACATGAATCCACACCCCCAATTAGCTGTGAAAGACAAAAGGATACTTTAGGTCTTATGGCTAATGGGGCAGGACAGTAATCAAATAAATAAATAAATAAAATAGTCTCTCAGTATAATGTCCCTCACAGGGTCATTGTGGAGATAAAATGTTTGGGGCACGTAAACTATCTACACTACCCTGAATCCTTGAGAGAAACTATTTTTAAAAGTCCAGAATCCTACTTACCTGTTCTTTTGTCATCTGGTAGTTTTTGCTCCTATAACTTTGCCCAGCAAAGGAATTAGGCAAATATTGAAAAGCTTTATTGTTTTTAATGAGCACATAGGCTAATCTTTAATTCCAGGAACTGGAGAAGGACCAGTAGCTACAGAAGATGCTCCATAGTGTCCACAGTGAGTTCAGAGCAACACTGAATTTAGCAGACTCCATGAATGAGGTGCTTTTAATCAAAGCAGTGAAAGAGCATCCAGCTGCTCGCCACTGTCAAGGTCGTGGTATCAACAGGCACCGGCACTGCCAAAATTCAAGATTTCGCACGGTCTCCGGTAAGTACTGCAATGGATACAGAACCTAGTGCAGTCCTGCTGCAGGAAGCCCTCATGGTGACATGGCAGTTTTCACCGAGGGTGCAACCAAACTACGAACATCTTGCTAGTCCCCCAGTCCTTGGCTTAGTTCTCACTTAGGCAGCGTATTTGTTTCTGAGTCGGTGGTCTCCCCGCCACACTGAAAGTGGATTCTAGCCAAGCCCTGGAAGAAGGCTGTGCCAGTCACCCCACTGCTAAGCCACATTTTGCACAAGCTGTTAGCTGCCCTGTGCTCTTTGTGAGAGAGATGACAGAAAGGGGAAAAACCTAGCTCGGTGTCGACTACTGTGACAGTGGGCCTGCAGGGTTTAAGCAGGAATCCTGTCCAGCCCTACCTGGGGCACCAGGGATCAGCCTGGGGCTCCCTACCATGACTGTACCCTGCTAGTGCTCTGTGTTCAGGGGTCTCTTAGCATGTTTTCAGCCCAGAGCCCCCAGCTGCCTCCTGAAGGGGTACTGCCAGGCACAGGTCTACCACTTCAGAGAAGGCAAGGCCATCATCTTCCTGGTGGCAAGAACAGACGTGCCTGGGAGGTGCTGCAGACATGATCTGCTTGAGGTGGAGCTGTGTTCTGTACAAAGCAACCTCCCTTAGGGCTGCCTGCTTGCTGGTGCAAGTTGGAAACACGCTATCGATTTTCTTCAGCCTGTCTCAGCTTAAGGACACAAGTTCCTGCCTGTCACCTGACTTAGTATGACGGTAAACAAAAAATCAAGCCATTCTACTTTCTTGCAGTTTGTTATTGTCTCTAGTAACTGAATGATACTGTTAAGGGAAAACATACCACATATTATGGACAGTGAACATTAAAATCCATATTTCCACTAACTGTGGAAACAGTAAAGACTAATTTTCAAGTCCAGAGACTGAAAAATAGAAATCTGAATTATTAATACTGCTGTCGTTTATGATAATTTAAGATGGGATTTCAGTTTAAAATCCAATAAGGTTTATTTAAGGAGCACGACACTGATGGAGACATGCATTACACAAATAGTCTACTGGGAAATATCAGGTTAATTGCAATCCTTTAAACATTTACTTGAAAGTAAGTTGCATTCAGATTAATTAGCCCTACTTTCAGCTAAGTGGATATAAGATTGCAGCTTCAGTCTTCACCATTTTAAGGATATAATCACACTACTTTTAATTTTCTCCTTGTGACAACACAAACCAACCTAAGTTAAAACATTTATGGTGCAATCAAATGCATGGGTTCTGAAAAGTAAGCCACACTGACTCACTCCCAGGTTAGCATGCAAAAGATTGCCATTTTAGTGGTTTAGTGGGTTGCTTTTCCAGGGTTTAGTTAGGCAGAACATGATATTATAGTAGCAGGTTTGCATCCTTATGGAATTCACTGTTTCTTCTAGGTTATCTGAACCTGCCTGAACAAGAATGAAAAATGCCTAGTTTTGAATGGGAATCACTTTGGCAACAAACAAACCCAACAAATCCGCCAGTGTCACAGCCACATTAACTTAATATAAGAATTAACACAGAATGTGCAAATGCAAAACTTTCTTTGGAATTCAGCTCCAGTCACCTCCAGCCACCATGGCCAATGGCCAGGGATGCTGGAAGCTGTGGTACAAAATACTTGGAGGACACAAATGGAAGGGAATGGAAATCTCTGTCCCCTTCTCCTGAGCAAGCGGGGTAGCTACTTGCAGGGAAGGTGGAGGCCAACTGTTCAACACAAAGAGCACCCAAAATTTACCATGATCATCTTCCCATTGCCTGTTATAATGGTGACCAGAAGAGACTTAATCTAGTCCTAGAGTCTCTTTTTACCTTTTGTGGGCTAAAACACAGCTCTTCTTACCCCCACTCCCACCTCCAGCTTGGTGTCCTGCTTCTCTCTTTCCCTTTTTTAAATTGCAGAAGGGGCTTGCTCAGATCACCTCTCTGAGGGCCTGGTATCCCATTCCTGACAAAGCAGCACATGCTAACAAGTGAAACACTGTGCCAAAGGCACTGCTGCAGCACCACACCATTTAAAAAACATTTCCCTCTGCATGAGAGTGGCATTTTATTCAACCAATCAGTCCCCACCTTTCAGATGATCCAGTCAATGAGAACAGGGTGCTGTGACGGAAGGGCAAGGCAGCCTCATTGGCTGTGTCCCTTGAAAGGTGGAGTCTAACCGGGCTCATTATTACTGGCACTCCTCCAAGAGAAGCTAACTGGAGCTGCAAGAGAGTTGTTTAACTTCTTCCCAGCTTTCTTTGCCCCTTCCAACTCTACTGCTCTGTGATTGCTTGGGCTCCTTGACATCTCCCAGAACAAGTTAAATGTTTGCCTTGCCAGCGCTAAGCAACAAAGTTCTCACCCATTTCTGTTCAATAGGTAGAAAACAGCAACCTTGGCTGGCGAAAGTAGCTGGCTGTGTTGACACTTCCACCTTGTACATGTTCCCAAGAAAGAACCGGGTAGGAAGGAAAGACCATTGTGACTGAGGCGTAGCAGTATTTGTCTACACATGTGCCTTCCTTGTTCATGCATAAAATGAAGAGTGAGCATTTTGTTGTAACTTGGACAGGGATATGTGAGAGAAACTGTACCCCACCCCTCCACCTTACCTGCCATCTCAGTGACCAGAGCCAAAGTGGGACAAAAGCTAAAAAGTGTGGGGAGCTGAGACAGCGCCACTCACCTAACATATTGTGCTGTAAAAGTTAGACAACACACACTGCTTTCAAATGGGGCAGCCACATGAGCAAGAAATGGGAGACTCCTGTTAACCTTTGGGGTGTCCCTGTTGGCCTTTGGGGTGATTTTTCACTGTAGGTTGTGGGAATGTGCTGCTATAGTCTCAGTATGATATGAAATGTGGTCATCTATGCTGCTCTTAAAAGGATTAACATGAAGCAACTCTTTAGTGTTTTTCCTTGAATATGCTTTCACCTAGATAACCCAAAATGGATATACGTAGCTCAGCCATCACCCATCACAGAGAGACATGCTACAGGAGTCCTTAATGCATCACACTGTATCAGTAAGCAGGGTTTTGTGGACTGAAAGCTCAGTAAGAACCAATTTTCACCTGAAACTGTGAAAGCATAGGTACTTTAGGAGACACAGAGCAGTTTGTCTGTTTGGACAGTGGTGCCACTGAACCACAGATTTAATTACAAGTTTAAATACTAGTTAAAGAAAGAAAGACAGCAAGCAGAAGCTCACTGCAGAGGGCCATATGTATGGGAGTCTGGAAATGCAGAAACCTGGGCAGTCGTGATCACAATTACGACAGCCATGAGTTTCTTCCACAGAAGGAGGCACGAGTTCATACAGACATCTCCTTCTGTAGAGACATCTCACCCGTCCCCACATAAGCCTGGCAGTGGCCAATCCATGCACTTGAGATGCTACTTACCTAAAGCATTAACTGCACCATTCATCAAATAAAATTCCTAATATGCCTGGTTTTAATGGCCTTTAAAGGTCAACATTATTAAAAAGCAAGGCCTGGGAATGCCATTAGAAACAGCATGTTGTCTGTTACTTCATGTATGTTCTGTCCTTACCATGGGAGGGGCACTATGGATTTTGCTCTACAAGTCCTAATTTCTAAGTCATCCATGTGGTTCAGAGCCATTCCCTCCAGAAACCCAGCTCTCTGTTTCGGATAAGAGTAGCAATGGTTACATATGCACTTGTGCATTTTATACATTTAGACACATGCTTTAAAATTCTGACAAATACCAACCTCATGACCCAACATTTCTGTCATTTGCAACTCACTTCCTTATGCATTATGGATCCTGAGAAGACTACCAAGATAAGTAAAGTCCCATACAAGAGTATAAATAATTGAATGAAATATAATGGTTCATTTAAAAAAATACATACCTTCTGTAAGAACGGTTGGGGCATCTAACAAAATGAGCCTTTGGGCCACTCCAACAATGTTTGGCAGTAACAGTTCTTGAAGTTCGGCAAGGTTACTTGTGTCCAGGGCAGTAAATACGAAGCTTCCATCAGTAGCAATTTGCTGAAGCTCTGCATTGTCAGCACTTTGGACCCCAATGCTAAATGAGAATATACTAGCTTGCTTCATGGCTAAAACCCCTTCTCTAATGTCATCGCTAGATTCACTGCCGCTTATCAGCACCAAAACCTGTGGCACACCTTCCTCTATCCTGCTGCCTGCTGACCGGGTGAAGTGGCTTTGCACCACATACTCAAGAGCTTCCCCAGTATTAGCTTCCTCGCCACCGAGTGCGCTAAGGGCCTTCACTGCATCTAGAACATCAGATTTTTGGGTGTAGCTGTTCAAGAAGAAAACAGTTCTGGGTCGATCACTATACATCACCACCCCAATGCGTATGAGCTCAGCTCCAACTGATAGTCTTTCAATTAAATTTGCAATGAAATCACGGATAGCTGCGAAAGTGACAGCGCCGATGTTGTTTGATCCGTCAATAAGGAAAATAATGTCAGCAGATTCTTGCGCTTAAAAAAAAGAGAAACGCAACAGGTGAAAGCATTAAACAAAGTGATTCCATGCAGAATAGTGATCTAACATGTTTCTTTGGAAACCGGCAAGAAACACGAATATGGAGGAACAAAACACACATGGTCACTGAAACTGCCTGCTAGTTCTGCATTCTGATTGAATATGAATTACCAGTTCATATAACTCAATTATATAATATAATTGTATTGGAAAGAATTCCCACTTGGGATATCTTTGCATGTTATATTTTATTATGTTTTGCAATCAGAGGAGGGCCATTCCCATGTCTTCATACACACGTACATTAAACTATAGGCATGGACATTAAATCATAGACATACACTTTAAGCTATAACATGAAGCTGTGCTGCATAGCTTCAGCTCGTCATTTATGAGATGCCCAACTGGGAAGGTGGAGTGGCCTTCACTTGCTGTGCTTTCAGGCCCAGGAATGGCTATCCACACCTGCAAAATGCACGGAAGGCAAATAGGTAAAGTCTTGTATGTGAAGACAGAGCTTGAAAACGGGTATTGTAAGTAGCAGAAATAAGAACACTTTTAAATAATCAATTTATGCATTTATGTTTATAATCCAGATTGCAAGAATGGGGATGTATTAACATTCCCAATAAAGAACTGACTGTGTAAGTAGGCTTATCCAAAGGCCAAGTAACTGTTCTTATATACATTCTTTATAGAGATGTTCTTATATTTTGTCCTTTATATTGAATAAATACATTCAATATAAATATACTAGAATATATTTTTCTACATATTTATCTATATTTGTTTAAACATTTAATGCTGAAAACCAAAGTGCAGAACTTTAATTTACAATTATGTTTATAATAAAATACTTCTGATTTTATTTTTCATATATGATGACTGGATATTCAATCAAATAATGCAGAATCATGTTAAAACAGAGTGATGAAGCCAGTCATAATTATCCAACCTTATATGTTATAAACTGTTTCCAAATAGATCAGCTATCTTGGAAAGAAGAATCCTATAACAGTGGTAAAGATGTGGGATAAGTTGGCCCTGAATAAACAGGTTAATTACCATGTGAATTAGTTGTTGGTTGCCTAGAGTGCGTATTTTGCTATGGTGACATAATCTGATCCAAAGCATATATGTGACAGGCAATTAGTTAAAAAATAAGCTATATCACCATGCCTAAACATATGGCTTCGGTATACATTAGAGTCTTGAAATGAATTTCCCTCATGTGGTTGTTGATCATTCTGAGCTGACCCCTTTATCCACAAGCAATGGAATGTGGGTCTCCATTTCATTTAAAATACAAACTTTGCTCATAGTGAAGTTCTTTGTATTGTAAATTGATTGGTGCTGGGACTGAACCGATGACATCAAAATGGCATAGCATTTGACCTTGCATTCTGACAAAATTCATCAATAATATTAAGAAAGGGACTATCAAATATTAAGAAATACCATGTTTTTCCTGGTACTACATCATCTTAAAATGATGCTTAGAATAAATTGCCCAATATTTTATCTTTACTATAATTATAATTTTACCATTAGTCCTTCCTTGCACCAGAAAGAGAGCTGGTCTTGGATCAGTGCGATTAGGGGCCCACTGTCTACAGAGGAAGCGTATAGAATGACCTCTGTAGTTCAGTCAGCTCAAGCCCCTTTAGGCAATAGTGATCACTCAGTAGGCAGGTTTTCATGACATGACAAGCCATGGTGGGCCTGTTATTTCATCTCAACCCTGCTGTGGCATTTTAGCATGGCATGCTTGGTCTTTAGGAACCACAAAGAGAAACAACAGTCTGTTCCACTGTTTCTCAGTAGCACAATGGGTTGTTGAGTCATCCAGATCTGGAAGGCAGAACCCATGGTGGTATGAAAGTCAGAATCAAGACAGCTGTTTGGCAAGCAGATTATAGCAGAGTGGAGCAAGCTGCCCACTTGGTCTAGGATAAAAGCAGCCAAGCTCCCAGGGAGCGAGTGAGCAGAGAGAGCAAACAGGAGTTTGGTGGCAGAGTTGTAGTGGGAGAGGAGACGGAGGCAGGCAGAGGCAAAGCAGAGAAGGGCCTGCACTAGCCCAGCAAACAGCCTTTTGTTTTCTAAGAAGCCTTGTCCTCTGCAAGAGACAACTGAGGGGAAGATCCTGCTTCGCTGAAGGGGAGTAGCCTGAGTAGCTAGCCCCAGTTGTGTGTGGGTGGAGTGCTTCATTCTGGCTCCTGGCTCCTAGCAGAGTGGAGCAGATTAAAGCAAGCCACCCCAGTTTGTCAAGGGCCTCCAGGATACAAGCAGCCAAGCTCCCAGGGAGTGAGCAAACACAGTGAGAAAACGGGAGTTTGGTGGTGGAGTTTGTGTGTGTGGGCAGCTGTTTCCTAACATTTTCCCCCTCTTCTTTTCTCTCGAGTCCCCACCCACCCATTTGTTTTCTTCTTGCAAAACACTCCCAGTTGCCTGTAGGGCTGTGCTGTCACTCTTTGGAGAAAGCACCAGTTGTTACCAAGACAGATTCGCAGCGTAGCACCAAGAATGGACTGAGAAGCCTCCACAGTGGTTGTGACTTGCAATATCTTTGCAATGTTTGTTTTCTTACCTGAGAGCAACATGGCCTACAAGTACTACAAGTGCAAGCTAGCAGCCTTGCTAAAATAAAAGACGAGAGCTCTAGAACAGAGAATGACCACTCTCAAAATAATAAAAGAAGATGAAGGGTTTTTAGACAGAGCAGTGCAACTGCAACAGCTAAGAGCAGAACAGAAGCAAGAAGAGCACCAGCAATTTGAAGCAGAAGATGACAACTCTGAGGAGAGGGAACATAAGGAATCTCCCTGAAAAGGGTGACAGGTGCAGAAGAACTAGAGGATGCTCTGCACCAGTGGAAGCAGGGGAACTCTCAGACCGGTTATGTTACTTGAGGGAGAGGCAAGTGAGAATCCCGCTGTGAAGGAACTACACAACACACTCTGAATAAGTGACAAAAAGTCAAGTAAGGAGAAGGAAAAAAATACAAAAGTTTGCAACAACAAATAGTGAAGAGTGGTAGTTTGTCAGAGATTCCCTGTTTTGCACGATGGAAAAACATGTATGTTGGGAAGACATTTGGAATTATCAGGTTCACTGTCTCCCTTGGGCAAAGACCCCAATGATACAACTAACAGTCGCATACGACCTACAGGGGGATACTCCATGTGAAGTCTTGGCTATGATGGTGGTGCAGCCATGAGAGATTTGCATTCTGGGACCACAGACTAAACTTCCTGGAAGACGGACTGCTGGCAAGGAATGTGTGACACCTTACGAAGAAAGGAAAGGATGTACTTGGCCACAGCATGAAGAAGTTTATCAGGAGAGCTTGAAACTGCATTCCTCAGGAAACGGAGACATACATCTGGCTGCAACATCAACTGACGAAGCGTTACGTACTGCAACAGTGAAAGAAACTCTAGCTGGGCCTAACACTAGTATCCCAAAAAATGTAGGCAATGAAGCCAGGGAATAATGCCCAAAGAATGGGAAACAAACAATATAAACTCAAACTCTTAGTACACTAGGGCAAATATGACCAGACAGGCATAACTTAAACTTGGTGGGATGATGAATGTAACTCAGAAATTGCAGGATACAACCTGTTCAAAAAGAATAGAAATAACAGAAAAGGAGGCAGAGTTGCACTTTGTGTTAAAGATAAATACAGTATCTCTGAAGAAATACAGGAATTGCCAGTGTATCTGGATTAATATAAACAGAAAAAGGAATAAAAAGGGCATAGTAATTGGAGTATATTATCCTCCACCCAACCAAGGTGAGGATAAAGATGAAACTTGAAAAACAAATTGCCAGTGTTTCAAGGAGGCATGATGTCATCATTATGTGGGACTTCAATTTCCCTGATATCTGTTGGGAGGGTATCTGCCAAACATGACCCTGATGTCTGCCAGACATGGCCCTTCTGAGAGATGCCTAACGTGTGTTGCTGAAAACTTCCTCCAGCAGAAAGTAGGAATAGGAACAAGGGGCATGGCTTTACTTGACCTGATCCTAAGCAGCAGGGAAGACACAGTGGACAAAGTAACAGTGACAGGAACTCTGGAGGAAAGTGACCGTGCCTTACTTGACTTCTCAACAATAAAGGGAGCTAAAACGAAATGTAGCCAAACATGCACTGTGGATTTCAAAAAATCCAACTTCAGCAAATTCAGGGTGATGATATACAAAGTCCCATGGCAAGGCACTCTAAGGGGAAAAGGAGCCCAAGAAGGGTGGGATATCTTTGAAAAAAGAAATGCTTAAGGCACAACTACGAACAATTCCAACAAGGAAAGAGAGTAGTAGACAACAGAGGAAGCTCACGTGGCTTCACAAAAAGGTAAGAGACGATCTGGAAGCAAAAAAGGACATGTATAAGAGGTGAAAGGAAGGCCAGGCTACAAAGGAAGAATATAAGCAAGTAGCAAGGAACTGCAGGGATGACACCAGGAAGACTAAAGGGATGCACTGAGGCTAGCGAGGGATGCTAAAAACAATTAAAAAGCCTTCAAACCCATCCAAAACAAATGACGGATGAAAGGGAAGGGAGTGCATCTGCTCAACATGGATGGAACAGTGAAAACAGATGACAAAGAAAGGGAGTGAAAAAGGGGACATGATGGGAAAACAGCTGATTGGTGCTGCTCCTGCCTGCAGTGCTGTCCAGGTGATCTTCACCTTTGTTGCCTGGGCGTGGGTCAGGCACTCCCCCACCCCACTCTAGCAATGCCCTCTGGAGCAGGAGACAAGGAGGCCTGATCTGCTGTGCTGTGCACAATGGAAGGCAGGAGCTGTGTTTGCACAACAGAGAACACCGGATGGCCGCGGTAAGCCAACCAGCTCACAATTACAGCTGTGCAAGAGTGGGCCCTCACTGCTCCCCATGATGTCTGCGGGGATAATGTCTGGAGGACTAGGAGGGAAAGAGATAGCAGGAGGAGCGTCAACACCATGAGCCTGATTGTTTGTCAAGCACATTAAAAGAACTGCAAACTGTGGTAGCCATACAGGGTTGCTTGTCATGATGTATGAATCCAGTCTATGCATTAAAGACTCTGTTTAAATGCTCCTGTTTCTCATTTTAACAATCAAATTATGCATCACCCGTTACCGTCCTATAGACTCTTCAGTGCTAATCTTCTGAATAATCTAGGTTGTGCAAGAAATACCGCTGATCTTGAGGAAACAGGAAAGATGTACATATAACTGTTGGATAATCTGTCATTCCTGAAATACCATTTAACGGAAGTAGACCATGAAAGGTTAAGGTGATGGTGGAGGCCAAATGGAAGCATGCTGTGTTACATGACTGAGCAAAGAATTCTTGGTATTGAAAGAAAGCAGCAACTGTCATTGGCCATGATGGACTGCAATACATATCAGGCAAATTCAGGACCGACCTTTTAACTTGCACTAGTTGTTGCTGTTAATAACTGAGCACTAGCAGTTCCCAACCACCCAGAGAGTCCTATGGAGGACTGTTGGTGCAGTTTATGAAATATATATATATATATATATATATATATAAACCTAAAACCTATCTTTTACTAAATCTTTGGGAACATACAACAATGACATTTAATGCAGAGAGATTGTAAAAAGCATCTGATAAATTGTCATTCTGTCTCAGGTATATTAATTGATTCGGCACCATGTTATGTTGTGAAATACCACAGTCATTATATGACAATTTCTAGAATAAGAGAACACTTTTCAACATTATTTGGGGGCACAGGCAACCAAAGTAATATTTTTGAAAGCATATACTGTATATGCCATGCATAAGTAGTTATATATCTTGATTTAAAAATCATCAACATAACCTCTTTGTATAACTGTCTGTAGTTATGTCACACATAATTTGGGTATTTGCACTCTCACACACCATTGCATAAAGGTGGGCCAAAAGTCTTCTGTTTGCCAGGGGTGATAAGTAAGAGCATCTGCTCTCCAGCATTGGCTCAGAGCAATGCGCCCTCTTCTAAGCCCTTAGAGGAAGAGGGCAGAGTCTGTCTTTGATGTATTAGCTCACTGCATACTCATAAAGCTGTTAAAGGGGCTTAAAGAAATGCATTTCCTTTCTGTTCATTCTACCTGTTCAAGGATGATAGTTTACCTCAAAGTCTGAGGATTATATCAAATTCCATTAAAACCTCTGAGTCTTCCCTGGCAGTAAAAATTAGCATGCATCTCTGGTCAGCCTTTTAAAGTTTCACTTAAGAAATAGATATGTTAAAAAGTAATGATATTAAAAAGTAAGGAGTGAAAAATGCATCCTGATTTTCTCCATGAATCTCTGTGCCCCATAAAACTTGCAGGAAAATGGGTGAAAACATTTGTTTGGCTAAATATCATGCAGTGATGCAGTGATGGATAATGGTGCAAATGATGGAGCTGAAGTGAGAAGTTAATGAGACGAGACAAGATGAGTGTTATAACCTGTACATTGTTGTTCTCCTGTACCCTCTATTCCTCCTTTCATGCATTCCAAGGTATAAAAACAAAGGTCTGAGAGCCATTGTGAAATAAGCATTGCACCAGGTTAAACTCTGTTTTTTCACATTTAGTGAGGTTTCTGGTTTTATTACATGAAAATATCCACAGTAATTAAAGAGGAAGTGTGTGTGTGTCAGTCTGGCCATCCAATCCATCAATGCCTTAATACTAAGGCTATGAAACCTGAAACTTGGCGTGCTTACTAAGGAAGCTCCAGGGGTCTGCATCTTTGGATTGTTTTGTTTTTCAAAGGCATTTGTTAGTTTTAATCAAATTGAGTTTGTCCATATGGTTGAAACCTGCAGTAACATTTTGAGCCGCTAGGTGCAGATTTCCCTACCGAGCACATAGCGTTATAGACCATATAGTACTTATTTATTCCATTCCATTTCTATACTGCCCCACAGCCAAAGCTCCCTGGGTGATTTTGAGACCAGGGAAGATAAATAGATCGAGGAAACAGAACGTGCCTGCCCCTTCCCCTCCGCTCCCTTTCAGGAACGGAGTGGACAGATGCCTCCCTTACCGGGCAAAGGGAGGGCCAAAGGGAAATGTTCAGGTTAAGGCCTGACAAGGAAGTCTGGCCTGAGATGACTAAGCCTGATATCTTAATGCCAATCAAACATTTATTAATAACAAGCACATAGTGAACCATTCAGGCACAGAAGTTTCAATCTAGAGGTAGGGAGGTATAGCCAGTACTTCAAGCACTCAATATGCTCTCCTTGGGAAGTCCGTGGGACATCTTTCATGACATTAATATTATTATCATTATTTATAGATAAGCAAATGTGTGGCATAGAGCTTTTTGCAAACTGATACGTACCCTTGTGTTTGTCCATACACACAGAGACAGAGAGCATATCCAATGTCTTACTGGGGAAAGGGTATGTTCTAATTTTTTATTTGCAAATATCTGTAGATCCATGTGCAAGGATGGGTTAGTCCTAGCATATCTACATCCACCTTAGATTCAGCCTGTGCTTTTAAACAACTCGTTCTGTCTTCCGGAGAAACAGCCATCACAAGGCTGTGGGGCAAAGAAGTTACTTAAAAGTGATGCCATTTCCTGTCCTGAACTTTGTAAGGCACAGGCATACTGCCTGAGAAGAATGATACCTAATAAGGAAGATGATAATGACTGAGGCACATTGGATATCAGTTTATTGGATTTTGTTTTATAATTTATATGCCAGAGCCAGATTTCTTTGTCAAAATGAGCAGTATGAAAACCTTTGTTTTTAACCTTTGAGATGTGTGTACATTAGGGCCTTCTCAGACAATTCTTGTTGTTACCAATACAACAATATGAATGACATTCATTTGTTGTTATAGCCTGGAAATGCCCTTGATCTACACATCAGAACGCTTAAAACCACGGAAGAGTAGAAATTGCAATACTTTCCCCAAGTGTTGCAATGTCAGAGCAGAAGAGTGTTACCTGTGATGTCTTTAATCTCGCCTTTTGCTCCAGGCATTTCTGGAGTCACTGATGAGCGAATACTTGCAACTAAGTCTCCCACAATGCCGTGGAGAGCAGTAAAGTTCTCTAGGTTGAACAGGTGCATATCAAGGGGATCACTTGCTATTTCCTTTAATTCCCCTTCCACTGCCTCCTGCACTCCAATGGCAAACATGTTTACATCAGCAGATTTAAGAACAGATGATGGCAGAGTCACATCATCTTGGGATCGTCCATCCGTTAAGACTATAATTATCTGGGGGGTGCCATCACTCACTCTGCTTCCAGCAGCTTTAGTTAGATGGTTCCGAATTAGGAACTCTAATCCTTGTCCAGTCTTGGTTCCACCCCCCATATAAGGCATGTGTGAAATATGGGAGAGCACTTCTTGCATAGTATGATACGTGTTTAACTGGAACTCTGTATGTGGGCTTCCGCTGAACTGGACCAGACCAAACCGAAAATCATTTTCACCCACATCTAATTGTTTTACAACATCATACAGAAACTCCCGAACAAGTTGGAAATGTTCCTTTCCAATGCTCCAAGAAGAATCCACTAGAAATATTATATCAGCAGCGGCACCGATTTTGACATCTTTAAAAAAACACATTGATTTATGATTTTCCAGAGGTCAGTGGGAAAAAAAGGCTTGTCCTACCATTGACAATCATGCCCTTCCTTTGCATAGTCAGAAGCACAGAGCTCAAAAAGTAGGGCAGGAGGAAGAGAAGAAAGCACATTCTAATATATCAGTTTTACATTTTTGAATATAACTGTAATATGTAACTTCTAGAAGCAGGCATTCTCTTGGAGAATTAGAACAGGTTCCAATGTACTATCCTCTGGATACAGTACAACACTAGTGTGATTCCCTTGCCTATATAGATGTGAAAATAAGTTGCGCATATGGATACTTCTTCTTCCCCAGTTCTTCTCCAATTACCTCATGGACTATAAATTCTTGATTCAATAGTTCACTGAGAAATCCTTTTAATATCTCATTGAACAATACCTTGACAGTTCACATTTTAATGTGATTGTATTGCGGTAACTGAAGCTGGTCTGCTTGAATGATTAGTGGCCTTATCCTAACATTTGCAAACCTAGGGCTGTACAAAAGTCCATCCAAAATGCTAAATTTGCAAAATATGACTTGCGGTTAGATAGGGGAGATCTCTCAAAAGCTTTGGGCTAGATATGGGAGATCTCTCCTTGGCTCAATGATCTATGTTCTTCTGAAACAAAAAATGGACCAATTTGGATCATTTTTCTATGCCAATCCAAGGGCTTGGGGATGCCCAAACCAGCCCTATTAGTAGCTCAGTCCCCAAACACCTCCCTGATCCGTTACTTACCTATCAGAAAGTAGTGGGAACAATAGCAGTGAAGAGAGAAAAAGAGGGAGCTGTTCTTAGAAGTTCAATTTTAGAAGACAAGCATTAAGTCTGAGGAGCTCATCTTGTACAGTATGAGTACAAGAATTCAACTGGAACTCTTGTTCTGGGCCTACAGTGTACTGGACCAGAACCAACCAAAAATAATTTCCAAAGACATCTTAGCAATTTTACAACAACGTACAGAAACTCCCAAATGAAAGGAAAATGGCTTTACCCTTCCCTCCCCTCTCTCTCCTCCTTTCACCATGATTACAATAACCCTTGAAAAAAATGATCTCTTCCATTGTCCCTTGGAGTGCGTACCTTGGAGTGTTGCTACCCCGTGGATTATGGCAAATGGAGAGAGGGGGAAAAACAGGTGGAGGGAAGAGAAAAACCAAGCTGCTCCCGCTACATTCTGCAGCTTTTGCTCCCACTACCGTTTGACAAATAGGCGAAAAGTAGGAGAAGGCTTCTTCGAGAAAGGTTTTGGGGACAGCATGGTCTCACAAGGGCAAACATGAAGATGCTGGCATTCTTCTCCAACTTGAATTCTGATCTAAGCCAGAGAAGAATGTGGGGGCTCTAAAAGCTCTTAATTATGGGCATGCTTTTATTCAGAGATGTTATCCAGTCTCATGCAAAGTATTTCTGAATTGCATCATTTCCACAGGAATGTGGCACTGGCATTGCATCTCAATCTTCAGTAGAAGATTGATGAATCCCCATGCAATTGCTTTCCAATATTTACTACTAGGCTGGTTATAAAAGGGTGGGGGGATCTGGTCCCAGAGTAGATTTATACACTTTGTAGGCAAAATGGTTTACTTTTTAAATGTTATAATAATTAAAATGAGGAAGAAAGGTGGAAAGATGGCTTCCATTTCTAACAACTTCTACAGGTTTTCCTATCTGTTTACCAAGAGACATCTTATCCATACCATTAAGTGTAGATCATATATGAGGAAGAAGAAGTTAGATTGCTCCATTCCCAAAGATCTGTCTCCAGGCAATGTGCTAACATTACATGCAACCAAGTTCTTATATAGACAGTACACAGATTTGAGAACATAAAGCTGGGATTGGTACAGTATATTTGAAAAAATGTTTGTTGGGGCCCAGTATGCATTTTCCCCAAGCAGAATTTCCAAAGATACAGTAAATAAATAACCTGAATTCTACAAATATTAAACCATTTAAAGATGGAAGAAACTTACTAGCTCCTTGCTGCTGGGCATCAGCCATATGATATCCTGAGAGTAAAAGACAAAAGATAGCTGCTAAGGGCAAATATCGATGTTTCCTCATTTTTTTTGGAGGGTGAGTTAGCTACTGTTTCAAAGCACCAGGTTCTAGATCTGAAAAGAAAATGAGACTTTGTCAGAAAAATTTCCATTGCAATCTAAATAGCAAGCCTGCCTAATTAATTCAAATGCTCAATCCATATATAGATTACAGGCAGATACTAAACAAATGGATGAGAGAAGCATTAGCTGGATTACACCTCCAGCAGTTAGCTCATTTAGACATTTATTGAAAAGGCATTGTGGCATCCAACATACTTGTTGCAGTGTGTCAAACAGAATCATAATTCGTCTTTTAATATCAACATCAGTTATCAAAATAAGTTAATAGGGCATGTACATGATGATATTTTTCCTTTCTTTTCCTTTTTTCAGACTGCCATTGTATCTAAGAATGGCAGAATGCTGCATGATCCGTAGACAGTCTTCTGTGCAGCCACTGCTGTGCTCAGTATAAAAGCTTACTCTTGCACTATACAAATATGGCAATGAACAGAGTTTTCTCCTCTGAAAGAAAATGCACATGCAGCTGGAACTCCTGTAATGGTGTGCCTTCAAAAGAATGAAGTTTTGAGGTGGGGTAGGGAGCACATCTGCTAAGATCCAAAAACAGCTGAATAATATATTACAGTTACATAAACACATGCACTGCTACAGTGCCAATAAATTCAGATGTGCGAAGTGATGTACACCTCATTTCAAAGGGAAGGCATACTAGAATTCACGTCAGAGTCCATATGGTGGGGATTGCTCCAAAGCAAAAGGCCGCAATAACAGGAGTTCTGTGCACGAGTCAGCCCGAGCCGGCTGCCTATTGCTCTCTCTGTCGCAAATCATGCTAACCGCTCTCTCGTCGGGCTGGGGGAGGAAGGGCCCTGCTGGAGCTTCAGTCATGCAGAAGGAGCACTCTTGGTGTACTTGTCAGAGAAAGGGCTGTATCCACAGCAGCACTTTTCTCAGGTTCCAGTTTACTTTAGTTTTGCCCCTCATTGTCTTGGAAGAAACATTCACATGTTGCCCATTCATATGGGGAACAGATGTGGAATTAGTTTATGCTTTAGAGTTTCAAAAGAGAGTCCTTCCCTGTCCCTGTTTAGAGATGAGTCATTGGACCTTTTGCATGCAAAGTATGCACTGAGTTTGGTCTCTCATCAGTTCTTGTGCAAATTTCAGCAACAAGTTGCATAAGACACACCAATGTCAAGACACTGGACTTAACAGACCCTTGATCTCACCCACAAGGCTTGCTCAGATCTGCGTTGCAGATTGCCAATAACTGTATGCACAATAACATCTACCCAACACTGGCTGGTTCCCAATCCAGAAGTTCCTGACAGCACTGAATGCTGAGTGGGATGTATCTCTTACATCTCTTACCTTTGCAACTGACACTGAATTGGATAGGGATGTGTGTGCACACAGGTGTGTCACAAACTGAAACAATTGGCATAACTTCACTGGAGATGCAATGTCCACAAAGTGGATAAACTTTTCCCCTGCCTATCATTTTATCCCAGCCGCTGGGTAGTTTCTGACATCTTCCTTTTGCTGCCATCTACTGGAGTCCTGGCAGCTTAGGATCTTGTCATTATAACAAATTCAGAGTGCCAGGCATCATGGAACCAAAATAGGATGTATAAAGGAGGCATCAGCTTAGGGAAATCCCAAGGTTAGTACAAGTACCTCCCAGACATGTTATTAAGTCTCCCAGGGGTGATTATTGGGACCAGGGGGACCAGGAGAGAATTGCGTATCATGGCAGAGGCCTGGTTGCTTAGAACCAAGACAGAAACTGTCCACACCTCACTGCTCCGTAGCCAGCTCTGCTTGGTTACATCCCTCTGTCCTGCACTGAATAGGGGACTGGACCTGATGGCCTTCTTGGCCCCTTGGCTATTGTATGATTCTTTGAAGTGCAGGAGAGCATGAAAGAAAATATGGAGTTTGTGCACAAGGATACAGAATTTGGTAACTATATATAATCATATTTAAACAATGTCTAGACATTTAGATTTTTAAAACAAAAAAAACCTGTGCTCCTGAACATGAACAAGAAAAATAGTAAATTCTAAAATGGCACATAGCTGGATCAGAACATAATTAACAATGGGTTACAAACATCTCTCTGCAGAAGAGGAATATGATTATAAAGTAAGTACAAAAGATTCAAGCCAACCAAGGTTATGCATTTTCAGCATCCTTGGTTTCAGTGGAAGAGGTTTAAGCACTTATTTTATTAAAATGAAATATCTTTCACTATTCATTTCCAGATTTAGGATACATTTTTGAAATGACATGACCAAGAAAAGGTATTCAATATTCTAAACGTGGCACACCATACATTAATGTAATAGCATTATGACACTGACATGTTTATTATCACTGAATTTGTCCTTTTTCACACCCATTGCCCTCTAAATTGACATTTTCATTAAACTACTGATCCAGCATGGTCCTCAGATAATGCCAGCTTGAACTTTGATATGAGTCAAATGGCAGAAGTGAAATGGCATCGCTGAGGGGAAAACATTATTCAAAAGCATCTGGTCTCTTCACCACCATGGCTGATTCTCTCAGGGCTGGCTCAAGGTTAAGAAAATATGAACAGCTTTCCTGGATCCAACTGATCCAACTGAGGGGCCTTCTAGTCCAGCAGTATATTTCCAACTGGCCAGCCAGAAGCTTCAAAAGTTGCTTTGTAGCAGGCCTTGAAAACAATCACTTTCCTGTGTCATGTTCCCTCAGTCACTGGTAGTCAGGCAGATGCTGTTTGGACCAAGGGAGCAGCATTGCCTTTTGCTAACTGTACATCCATTTTGGGTTTTTAAATGTTTATAAGCACAACATTTCTGAGTACAAGTCAGTCAAGCACAATGTATACAACTGAACAAGCTCAATGTGACAATTTAGGAGTTGACCTTTGCTGCCACTGAGGACATTTTCTGTGGGGTTGTACAGAAATCTGTTCTATTCAGAATATTTCATGAATTTACCCAATTTGTACCTCCCAAGCCTATAAGCGAGATAAGACAGAGATGAAATCTGCATTTTTACAAATTTTGCTATGCAGCTCATCCCAGAAAAAACAATGCACTAAATGTACCTATTAGGGAAAACTGCACAAAATGCATATATTTGAGAAATGTACATACAAAACTGGATTACAATGGGGAACACTTGAAATGCATGTATATTTGGAACATACACAGAATGTGTACAGTATGATTTTTAATAAATAGCAAACTGTATTTTTTAAAACATGCAAATTTTTGTTCCCTCAATCCATCCACTTCACACTATTTCTAACAATAGCCCGGAGTTCTTCAGACAAATGGCTTCTTGTATGTGGCAGTTTTCTTCCAGTCTGTATCTCAGTGTCCTAAACTTGTGGCACTGTTCCTGGGCCAGGTTTCAGTGGACTCTATGGGGGAAGTACTCTAATGACCTTCAGCAAAACATTCACTTCAGTGGAACCAACTCATGGGAGAGGCGACCGTACTTGCTTGCTTTTGGGAAGAGGGAGAGGGGTACTGCTGGTCCTACTGCCTTGGGGGTTGGGAGGACAGGAGGAAGCAACAGCACCCGTTCTCTTCTCCGTGATTTTTTGTGAGGAAGCAATTATTATTGCTTTGTTTTAGATATCTTTGTTTTTTGTTCTTTTACATAGTTAATTGAGCTAAAACAGACAGGCATACATACTGGGACCTAAAAGATCCGTTCCCTTGCACGTATCCCCTTTTAAATACCTCTGACTTCTCTCATAGTTGCACTTCTGTGTGACACAAGATCACTTTCTCTGCACTCCACTGCATTCATGAGTATGTGCCCCAACATGCAAAGTAAATGCATTTTGCATAGATACTGCCACGATGTTCCCTCATAAACAGAAGGGGTTCTGGTGTAGCTTTCTCCCAAATCTCAGTTATGGCTTTTTGTGTTTGGAAAAGACTTTGACTGATATATTCATCATCCATTCTCCTAGAATTTCTTGTTCGGATGCATTTATCAAGGCAGATAAATAACCTTTGAAACTTGTGGTTTGTAAAACTGCTAAGCATGATGTTAATTATGCAGTTTTGTAACACCAAGTATATATTTTCTGCTGTTTAATAGCGAACATTATGCTACCTTTCTTATATGTACTGGTGGCCAGGAAATTCAGAGCTAAATTTGTCATTTAACTCTGTTCCTTCTATTTTTGTTATCATTTATGTTATTGTTACTATTAGTCTATCATTGCTATTCCTACATCAAGTAGAGTGAGGAGCAAGAATGAAACTGGTTGGCCCCAACCTCCTGCACTTCTTGTCCACAGCCTCAGGGCACATCGAGTGAAACAATCCAACTAGATGAGTCTCTGGATCCCTCCATAGGAATTGCATAAATATCTGTGTCAAGTTCAGCATGAATATGAGAAATTTTAATCTTAAAGTTCCTAATTATTTGTCACAGTTGGCACCCACCACATCTCCATGCGAGTCTAATTTTAACCATGTTAAACACCTGGAAAAGTTTTGTGGAAGAGGTAGCTGAAGATTCTGTGGAGATGGGGAAGTGCAAGCACCAAACAGTGTTATGATGTGCAATGTTATGATGTGCATGGTAAGAAATGAGAGCCAGGGTGGCGTAGTGGTTAAGAGCATGGGACTGGGGCTCAGGCGATCTGGGTTTTAGTCCCCGCTTGGCCATGGAGCCAACTGGGTGGCTTTGGGCCAGCCACAGACTCTCAGCCCAACCTACCTCACAGGGTTGTTGTTGTGGGGATAAGATGGAGGAGGAGAATGATGTAAGCTGCCTTGAGCCCTTTGTAGGAAAAAGGCTGGATATAAATTGGGGAAAAAAATGCCATGTCTGATCAGACCAATGGTCGACCCAGTACAACAGTCTGTTCACATGATGGCAAGCCGGCTGCCCACAGGATCCATCAAGCCCAATGGGTACCTGAGCAGTTCAGACATGTGGGCCTGCTGCCGCAGATCATGGCAGTGTATCGCCAACTCCACCCTTCTCTCCACCCTTTTTAAAGCCATCCATATTGGTGGCCATCACTACTT